ATTTTTAAATTAAAAAAGCATCACTAGAATAAAAAAGATAAAAAAATAAATCAAATAAAAGCTATCAAATAAATTCAAAGAGCTTTTTATATTCATTTTTTTAGATAAAAATATCATATTTCAGAACAAATAAAGTGTTTTTACATAATATCAAGTGTCAAATTTGTGAGATTAATGCACTTTGCTAAAGCTGAACCTAAGCCAGATGCACCCATTGCACCAATTTAATTGAAACTTTTTTAATATTAAAGAAAACATATATTAATAATTAGTTAATTAGAAGGAGAAAATGAAGAAAGAATATGAAATAGTAAGATTACTTAATAATAAAAACCAAAGTTGGAAATAAAATTATGAGTTAAATTAACAAATAAAGAAGAAGAAAAAGTAAGCAAGAAAAAGAAAAAGAAATCAAATAAATTAAAAGTGCTTTATTGTTTTAAATTAGTTTTTATAAATAAAAATATAGCAATCCAAAACAAAAAAACTATTTTTACAAAAACTCAAGTGTTAAATTTGAGAGATTAATGCACTTTGCTAAACCAGAACCTAAGCCTGATACACCTTCATCACCAATTGAATTGAAACTTTTTAAATATTGAAAAAAAAAATATTTTATTAATTAGTTAATTAAAGGAGAAAATGAAGAAAGAATATGAAATAATAAGATTAATTAATATAAAAACTAAAAGTTGAAAATTAAATTAATATTTAAATTGACAAACAAAGAAGAAGAAAAAGCAAGCAAGCAATATAAAAAGAAAAATAAATCAAATAAATTCAATGAGCTTTATTGTTTTAAATTAAAATAAAAATTTCACATTCCAAAACTAATAAAGTGTTTTTACCTTAGTCTAAGTATCAAATTTGAGAGATTAATGTACTTTGATAAAGCAGAACCTAAGTCTAATGCACCTTTATCACCAATTAAATTGCCACTTTTTAAATATTGAAGAAAAAATATATTATTAAATATTAGTTAGATGGAGAAAATGAAGAAAGAATATGAAATAGTAAGATTAATTAATAATAAAAGTAAAGGTGAAAATAAAATGAAGAGTTAAATTAACAAACAAAGAAGAAGAAAAAGTAAGCAAGCACAATAAAAAGAAAAGAAATCAAATAAATTAAAATATATTTATTGTTTTAAATTAGTTTTATAAATAAAAATATCACAATCCAAATAAATAAACTGTTTTTACGAAAGTGAAAGTGTCAAATTTGAGAGATTAATGCACTTTGCTAAACCAAAACCTAAGCCTGATGCACCTTCATCACCAATTGAATTGCTACTTTTTAAACATTTAAGAAAAAATATATAATTAATTATTTAATTAGAAGGAGTAAATGAAGAAAGAATATGAAATAATAAGATTAATTAATAATAAAAGCAAAACTTTTAAATAAAATGAAGAATTAAATTAGCAAAGAAAGAAGAAGAAAAAGCGAGCAACGACAATAATAAAAAAATCAAATAAATTAAAAGAACTTTATTATTTTAAATTAGTTTTTATAAATAAAAATATCACAATCCAAAACAAATAAAGAGTTTTTACTTAAGAGAAATAATCAAAGTTGAGAGATTTTTGCATTTTGCTAAACCAGAACCTAAGCCTGATGCACCCATTGCACCAATTTAATTAGAACTTTTTAAATATTGAAGAAAAAATAAAAAATAATTAGTTAATTAGAAGAAGAAATTGAAGAAAAAATATGAAATAATAAAATTAATTAATAATAAAAGCAAATGTTGAAAATAAAATGAAGAATTAAATTAACAAAGAAAAATGAAGAAAGAGAAAAGTAAGCACAATAAAAAGAAAAATAAATCAAATATATTAAAAGAGCTTTATTGTTTCAAATTAGCTTTTATAAATTAAAATATCACAATCGAAAAAAAATAAAGAGTTTTTACTCAAGGTTAATCGTCAAATTTGAGAGATCAATGCATTTAGCTAAAGCAGAACCTAAGCCTGATGAACCTTCATCATTAATTTAACTTTGACTTTTTAAATAGAGAAGAAAAAATACATTATTAATTAGTTAATTAGAAGGAGAAAATGAAGAAAGAATATGAAATAATAAGATTAATTAAATAAATAATAAAAGCAAAAGTTGAAAATAAAATTAAAAGTTAAATTAACAAAGAAAAAAGAAGAAAAAGAAAAGCAAGTACAATAAAAAGAAAAATAAATCAAAAGAGATTTATTGTTTTAAATTAGTTTTTATAAATAAAATTATCACAGTCCAAAATAAATAAAGTGTTTTTACACAAGCGAAAGTGTCAAATTTTAGAGATTTATGCACTTTGCTAAAGCAGAGCCTAAGCTTGATGCACCCATTCCACCAATTTAATTTTTACTTTTTAAATATTTAAGTAAAATATATTATTAATTAGTTAATTAGAAGTAGAAAATGAAGAAATAATATGAAGTAATAAGATTAATTAATTAAAAATAAAATTGAAAATTGAAAATAAAATGATGAGTTAATTAACAAAGAAAGAAGAAGAAAAAGCAAGCACACATAATAAAAAGAAAAAGAAATCAAATAATTTAAAAGAGCTTTATTGTTTTAAATTAGTTTTTATAAATAAAAATATCATAATCCAAACAAAAAAAGAGTTTTTACAAAATATCAAGTCTCAAATTTGAGAGATTAAAGCACTTTGTTAAAGCAGAACTTAAGACTTATGCACCCATTGCATCAATTTAATTTTATCTTTTTAATATAGAAGAAAATATATATTTTTGATTAGTTAATTAGAAGGAGAAAGCTAAGAAAAAATATGAAATAATAAGTTAATAAATAATAAAAGTAAAACTTGTAAATAAAATGAAGATTTAAATTAAAAAGAAAGAAGAAGAAAAAGCAATCAAGCATAATAAATTGAAAAAGAAAAATAAATGAAATAAATTAAATGAGCTTTATTGTTTGTTTTAAATTAGTTTTACTAATAAAAATATCACAATCCAAAATAATTAAACTGTTTTTACGCAAGTGAAAGTGTCAAATCTGAGAGATTTATACACTTTTCCAAAGCAGAGCCTAAGCTTGATGCACCCATTTCACCAATTTACTATCTATAATTTAAATATATTTTATTTATTATTTAATAAGAAGGAAAAAATAAAGAAAGAATATGAAATAATAACATTAATTAATATTAAATGCAAAAGTTGAAAATTAAATGGTGAGTTAAATTAACAAAGAAAGAAGAAGAAAAAGCAAGTGAGCATAATAAAAAGAAAATGAAAAATAAATCAAATAAATTAAAAGAGCTTTATTATTGTAAATTAGTTTTTAATTAATCAAAATATCACAATCCAATACAAATAAACTGTTTTTATTTATTATGTGTAAGTGTTAATAGCTGAAAATGAAGAAAAAATATCAAAAATTAAAAATTTAAATGATAATTAAGTTAAAATAACTAAGAAAAGAAATTATTTTTAAAAATAAATTGAAAATTAAATCTGTAAAAAATATTAATAATAATATTTATAAATTAAATATACCTCAGATCAATATCGAGAACCTAATGAGATTAAAGTGAAGAGTTTAAAAACTTTTTTATTAATAAAATAAATTTAAAGAAAATAGTTAAAAAAATAAATATTTACTTCTTCTAATCTATTATATTATTTAATCTATTAAATCATTTATTTTTTTTCAAAAATATTAAATAGAAATTTATGGAATTTAATTAATTAATATTAAATGGATAAATATAATAATTAATTATCAAAAATAAATTATAAATTTTCTTTTATGAAGAGATATCCCAAAAAAATTAATTTAACATTCATTATTTAATCTTAATATTTTTATTTAAAATATATACTAATAAATATAGTAGGAATTAGAGATGCGCAGTTTTTTGATCATATGTTGAAAAAATTTTAGTAATTAATGTTTTTAAATTTATAAAAATAATGATTATAAGTAGATTATTCTGTTATAGCTCATGGATGGGGATATTTATATTATCTCTAATTATTCTCGAATCCCATTAGTTTTTTTTGCAAGCACATTTTATATAGGTATATAGATTGCATCCACAAAATAAGTGAATTTATACCTACTTAAATAAAATTTTAATGAATAGATTTCATACATTAATTAATATAAAAAATAAATTTGAAATTACACGATTGAAAAGTATAAAAATCTGACTATTTTAAAACAAAATTATAATATTTGGATATTTTAACTAAATAAAATATAAATACATTATTTAAAATTAATAAAAATTTTTTTATTTCAAGTAAACATATTTTATAGTTTATCACACAAAAAAATGAGTTATAATAGAAATCTCTTTGACAAATAATCTTTCTAAAATATTTCATTCTAATTTATTAATGTGTAATTCTTAACAAAAATTTAGAATTCATATGAAAAATATGAAAGAGCTTTTATTAATAATTATAAGATTCAAAATACAATACATACATAAATTTACATTTTTACCCTATTTTTATTAGATATATGTAGAGTATGTATACTGTCAGATAGACATTTCGACTCGAATAAAAATTCTGATTTAAAAAATCTTTTAAAATCAAATATAAAGAAAGTAATTAATTAAGATTTAGAAAAAAAAATATTCATAATCAATATAATAATTATTTTAAATATCACAAATCATGATATCATGGTTCGTGATATTTCAAATGCAGGAAGGAACAGCTATATAATTAAAAAACAAAAACAAATTTCAAATTAATTAATTAATATTTAAATCACAATTAAGACATCAAAAATATTTCTATTTATCTAACTTGGTTTAAAATTCTAAAGTATTTAACAATACATTTTAATTTTCTGGACTTTAAGCATAAATTTAAGGTGTCATTAAATCTATGTTGCTAGATATTTATTCTTTTGATTAGAAAAAAATAAAAAAATAATTTGAAAAAAAAGAATATAAATTTACATTATAGATTATTTTAAGTTCTCCTCATTTATAGAGATTAGCAGCTAATTTATTTTAAATAATTTAAATTATTGTTCGCTCCTTCTTATTTTATGTTAGAAGTCTTAAAATTCAAATTAGAATTTATCATCTTTTCTAGTTCTTTTCTCTCTGAAGGGATATTTATAAATTAGCTTTCTAGATTAAACTACACCAACAATTACTCATCTTTATACAAATTGTAGTTTTTAAAAAATTTTAGAAGAAGTCTAAATTTTCTTTAAACTTCTTTCAACTTAATTAAAGATCTTAATTTATAGCTGCTAATTATTTAAATATTAGTGAATTTATTAGGGTATTTTTATTTTAATTTAAATAGTAAATTCTAAACTAAATTATTATCAGACTTATTTGCTTTTACTTATAAATTTACCATTCCAAACATTAATTCTAAGATGAGATATAAGTTTGGTAATATAATAATTAAAACATTGATGACTTAAAAAACTGTTTATTGGATTTATTAAGAAGACACCTGCTAAATATAAAACAAATTCAAAGCTAATATGCAAAGCAAATTAGAAAAATGCTGTAAATCATTGTAATTCTATTAAATATAAGGCTTTGCTTTTCCAACTAAAAAGATATTAAGCGACATTATAATGTTCATTATCAAAACCTTTATTCAATAATAGAGTAAGTTTTTTTAAAAAGTGAAATGAATTTTTACTTAAATTAGCTAATTATTTTCTTTGAGCAAAATAAAAATTATGATTAGTGATGCTTTGTAGATGATCTTATAGAATTCCCAATAGTACATTTTATCTCTAAATCCTGCAAATATATATGAATATTACACTTTAATAAAAAAAGACTTCTTTCCTTTTCTTACAAGATTCACACTAACAAATAAAATAATAGGTATAATCATTCCATAGATGATCAATAGAGGTAAACAAAATATAAAAATATATGGTTAATGATGTTTTGAATCATAGCATTTGATATTATAGTCCAAATCCATATACTTTTAATCTCCTATCTAAATGCAGTTCATAGATTTACTTAAAATAGTAATAACTGAAACGAAATAGTAAAAGTAAATAAAAATTAAAGCAGCTCTTGCATGCTTTATGAATAAATTTTATTTAAATATTAAAAATATAAAGCCTATTATAAAATATAAGGTGATAATTAAAATAGGCTGCAATAAAGACCAAAGCAACTAATAGAACCACAAAGGTTGTAAATTAGGGTTCTTTGCATATAAGCAGTCTATAGATTTACTGATAGCTCCTAATGGATTACCTGATATTTACACAGGTACTGAAATAGCCATAAAACTGTTAAATAAGCTACAAATCAAAGAAAGAATTTGCAAATGATCGTTTAGAATCTTAGAAAATATTTTTTGTCTTTCTGATTTATCTAAAATATAATTTTAAATTAATTTAAGTTTATTTTTAAAAATGATTAATTACAAGTGTTGCTTAAGAAAAGAATCCCTGACTTTTTAACATAATGACCTAAAAGTTTAATATACAACTGTTTTTATAAGCTTCTGACCATAAAAAAAATATAAGCCATTACTACAAACAACTTTAGTAAATTGTTTAAAAAAATTAGCATAATACTATCTTAGCATTTGTAGCATTATTTTTACTTGATATATTCTGCATATGAATCACCCCAAACTTTGCCATAAATATCACAAGATCTACATATTATACCTATATATCCTCTAGCACAATTGAACTTTTTATTTTTAAATTAAATTTGAATAAAATAATGATTAAAAAAGTATTTATATCATTTATATAATTTAAAATAGTTAGAAATAAGAAAATTTATCCAGATTGCGCGTTGCGCTCCATAGCACCTAAAAAACACACCTTCAAAAAAATAAACAAATTATTTATATATTTTAATTTTTATTTTTTTGTATAGAAATAAATAAAAGAATTATTTTTATTTTCATTCTAACAAAAATTTAAAATACTCATTATTAAAGTCTAAAAATAAATGCATAATCTTTTCATTCAAAAAGTTTTGGATATTAAAATTTAGCTATGTTAATAAAATGTAAAATTTTTTGAGTATAATTAGACTCTAAACCATAAATTGAATTTTATTTAATCATTAAAAATTAAATATGAAAAATAAAAATATTTAAATTATAACAACCCCTGCTAAAGAACCTATAAAGTTAGGTATGGTTACTTAGAGTTGACGTTAGCGTTGAGATTAGTGTTATGATTAAGGTTGATGTTGATTTTGATGTTAGGGGGCTATAGTTATTTAATTTTTGAATAAGTATTGATTTTTAATTTTTTAATGAGGAAATCTAAATTTTTAATCAATAATATTATTTTTAGAGTTAAGCACTTTTTTCATTCATTTTATAAGTAAAAAAAAAAAAATTAATTCAAGATTAAACTGAATTCTTTGTTAAAAAAATTTAAATTTATTCATCAAAAAATTAAATCTTTGATTTAGAGTTTTTTATTTTTTTTTTCTCTATCAGTTTCAAAACCTTTATTTTATTTGTTTTAATTTTTTTTATATTTTATTAAATAAAATTATTATTTTACTGAATCTATATTTCTTATCAAGAAATAATTATCCTATAATAGTTATAATGTTAATTTAATGTTCAAAAAGTATACTTTTAACAAATAACCAAAATTTTAAATTTATTTATTTTTTTATTTTTAAATTTATTGAGACTTGAAAAAATTATTCCATAAGTTATTTTTTCTTAAAATAAAACATGTGGAAAAATTAAAATTATAATCAGCCTAATTTCAAAAAGTTTAAAATAATATATAGTGTTCTCAAAAATACTATTAATTTCTAAAATCATTTATTGTTTATTGTTTTTACTATTTATTCAAAAATTACATTTAAATAAAACCCATTTAAAAAAAAAATAAAATTAATTCTTATCTGAAATAAATGGCTATTACAAATCGTGGGTTCATAAATAAATATAACAAATTGTTTCAAATTTGAATAAAATTAATAATATTACTTTCGATTGATTGCTTTAAGGTTAACAAACATCAGGATTATAATTACAATAAATAATCTCATCAGTAAATTCATTACTTCTCCAGTAACCATTTTTCAACTAAATTTTTGAACCTGAGCAATACTCAGCAGAGTCGGGACACTTTTTGCACTCACCATCAAGAATATCTAATGAGTATTTTCCCTCTGGACAAGACTCACAAATGATAGAATTACTAAATTATTTTTGAATCTACCCTATTTTACATTAGTCAAAATTAAGTAATACTTAAAGATCTAACTAACCTTAATTAATTTAGATATTGTTATTAGAATCAACTAATTGTGGAAACACATTTGATCTTATTTTCATAATCATTGTACTGAGTGGCTTATACATAGGCTATACTGTTAAATAAAAACCTCCATTTTAATAATCGCTTGATTTTAAATTTCCAACACATTTTATTTATATATTTAATTAATCACATGTAATTTCTATATTGATCTATCTAATTATTAGTAATACATCATCACTTAAGTTATTTTGATTTTGAATTGATGGAATATAAACAGGAGTTCCTTCTTCATCAATAACCTGTATTTTTTAAAAAATTATTTACTCACCACTTTAGATTCCTTCTACTTCAAGTGAGTTTTATTTCTAATTTATATTATGTGAGCTTTAAATAGAAATATCTTTTTGAGAAATTTAAATTTTCCTTAAAGTTGATCCCAAATTTTTACCATAGATGCTTGCGTAATTATTTTAAATAGTATTATTTTGATTAATACCTTTCTATAATAATAACACAAAGTCAGGAATTATTGATTAATAATAAATTCCACCTCCTATTTGAGCTTTGTTGGATTCTATTTGCGAGTTCTTTAATATTAAATTAACTTTCGATATGTTAATAGCTCCTCCAGTTGATAGTATGGCTTAATTTACAATAAAAGCGGAAAAATTAATATCCAGAGTACCTAAATATTATGTGTTTATAAAATTGATTGCTCCTCCATTTTTTTGAAGGCATTTGTTAGAAATAAAATGTGAGTAATATATTTGAACCTTTTATGTTTCTATTAGTTATATAGCACCTCCATATCCATCTGAGTTTATATTATCTTAAAATATACATTCAGTTAATGTAATATCATTGCATTGATTAACTTGTATAAATGATGAGAATGTGTTTTAATTTAATTTATTAAGCTTAAGAGTTATATAATCTAATGTTACTTAATCTAAATTATTTAATAAAATTAATGAAGCTTCCAAATTAATTTTATTATTAATAAATGATGATTTAAGTAGCTTTGCCTCCCGTTAGTATAGTAGTTAGTTATTTTAAAACTATTATTCATTAACTGATAAGAATGATATAAAGTTATCAAAAAATTAACTATTTTAAATTGTGAAGCTTGTAATGCTAATAAAATTTATAGCAAATTAATGTTTGTTATTATTTGATAAAGGTTATATATTATCCATAGACATTTTATTTATTTATAATACATGAGTAGTCATATCTATGATATTAAAATCTGTAAACACCTAACTTACAGTAAAATTTTTAACTTAAATTGAATCAACCTGTAAAAATATTTTAGTTTAGTTAGTATTAATTATAGTTACATCTTTTATGGATAAACTCTAACAAATAAATGAAATTGGATTAATTTCTAAGTTTTACAAGCTGATCAAACTGAGTGAGTTACTATTTTTAACTTCTATTACTTATAAACTGGTATGAGATGAAAATAAAGCATTAAAAATTGTAGAAAATTGTAATTTATTGATATAAATATTTGTGATATTAGAGTTTTAGATTAATTAGATGTTGAAAATTTAAATATTCTCTGATTAAGTAATATTTAGATCAGATGCTTCTAGGTAATAAGAATTGTTTAAGTAAAATATTTGCAAGTTAGAAGAACTAAAGATTTTAATATTATTGATAGTTAAGTTAGTATTATTAGTCGCACTAAAAATGCTTTGTAGATTTTGGTTTAATTATATAGATTTTTTAATGTTTATGTTAGAAAGATAAACATTCTTAATTTGAATTATTGTGTTATTAATCAGATTGAATAAAGTATTTGAAAGTTTGCTGAAGTCACTTATATTAATTTTTTCTATGACAACTAATTAACAATTTTAAATAATTATTTATCCAAAACTTGAGTTTTCTTATACAACTAAATTTATGCTCGTAAGATAAACTTTTTCAAAATTTGACAAAATCAGTGAATTTTATATGTTTAAAGTTATATCTGACATTTAAAATATATTCATGGAATTATTTTAATTTAAATTTATCAAACCCAAGCTCAATGACATTTATTTTACTTAAAAATTTACAATTTACTTTGCATAAGGAATATTTTCTTACCAACAAATATTACTATTTTAAGAAGTTGACTAATTAATCAATGATAATTATTTACTAACCTTAATTTCGTTAAATAATTATTGAGATAATGATCTAATACATTATTGATCAAGATAAACTATTTCTATCACTTGAAGAGTTGTATCAATATGAAAATTTTATAAATTTGAGAGAGTTTAGTAAAGAGTTTCTTATGTATGAATATTCTCTTCAGCTCGATTCTATTGCTCTATTCTAAGATTGCATTTATCATTAGCAGATAATGGTATTACTACTCTTTCTATATCAGACTAGGAAGACAATATAATAAACAAACTATATTACCCTTCTTAACTTTTTATAAGTTACAAAACCTAGACTTGATAATATTTCTTATTTTTTTAAAAGACTACTTTATAATAAGAGTCATATTACAATTATATTAAGTAAATATATTCTTTTTAGACTATTAAGAAGTAATTATTAAAATTGATACTAATCATATTTATTGCTTCTTGTATACCGTAATTTATAACAGGAAATTATTATTAAAAGCTCAAGCCATTATAGATGATTATATCTGTTGGGCACACAGAATATATGTAATTAGAGTCAAAAGTTATTGTTGCTTGCTTCAAGCATGGATTTAGCATAGAATTTATAAAATTCAAATTCCAATCATAAATATTTGTTTTACCTTTATTTAAGACAGCATAAAGTATTTTTCTAAAAGGGTCATTCACAATGTTTGTAATTGTAGTTTGTTGAAGTAATAATTGTTAAAATTAATTTGTATTCACATTTAAAATTTTGATAATAGTGTTTTAGGAATCTAATGAAATGATACAAACTAAAGTAGTACTTTAGTTTGATTCAATATAATCATTAGTATTATATCTGTCTTCATATTCAAAAGGAATCTTCCACCAATTATTCAGATGATTCCTTACATCTTTAAATTAAAGCTTAAACATGAACTAATATATACTACTATTTTGAAGATTAACACCATTTATTTTTTTAGTTAAAATATTGAAGGTATAAATTATATTGACAGAAGGAAGAACTATAAAATCACCAATTATTAAGGCTTAAGAGAAATCACTCTATGGAAGATTAGCAAAATTAATTTCATTAATCTGCTCAGCTTAAAGGTTTAATTAGTTTAACTATAAATTTTGCTAGTATAAAATGAGAATTTGCTACCTAGGTTTATCAAAAAAATAGTTGTCTGGATATAAAGATAATGACATCTTTTAAATTAATTACAATTTTTCTTTTAATAAATCTACTTCGATTAAGAAAAGTTCACCAAACAGTATATAAATAATTTATTTTGTGCTTATCTGTATTAACTCAGTAAAGTATGGATGGATATTATATTAATATTGCTATAATATTAAATAATCTACTAGCACTGCTTATTTAAATAGATTAATACAATAATTTGCTAAACTATAGTAAATTTAATATTAATCGTTGAGTACTATGTTTTATATGTTTTAGTACTAAGCTAAATTAACTTCAGAAGAATAGAGAACTTCTGTCAAATCAAAAGAGATCAGTGAATTTTAAGTCAATACATTTAACAAATTAAACTAAGAATTTAAGTATATATTTTAAATAGGAGTTTCTTCTTATTATTGCAAGGTAAAACTCTCTACAAATTTCATTTCAGGGTACTAATACATGTGAATAAACTTATCTGAATATAAAAAAAGGATATTTTTATACTCATCCATTATGATTCCCTTTGTTTGATATACTTAAGTTTAAAAAAGAGTCACATTTTTTGTTTGACAATTGCATAAATAAATAATAGGAGTATTATCAATAACAATTAAGCTTTTTTATTTTTAAAAATAGTATGCTGAGTGATTATCAAATTGGCTAGTAGTTTTATATAAAAAGAATGTGCTATTAGTAAAAACATTAATAATAATTATCTATCTTTTTGATCCAGTGAGGAGAATGTAGATGTCTTTATCTTGATCATAGTGAGATTATGTTAATTGATATTAGCAAATATCCTTGTAATTTATTAGTTAGTCTTAATCTTTTTTAATTACATGCATTTAATGTTCTAAGGTCTAAACAGCAAAAAGTTAATTATTCGCTTTTATTATTGGATTACAACATAAATTCACGCCATAATATTGAGACAAAGACTATTTAATAAATAATTAAGTTATAAATTTAACAAGAAAAATGAAATATATTTAACTATATTTTAATGGTAAAATAATATTTGTTTATTTTTAAATACTTTTAAGAAATTAAAAATTTTTGAATTTATGAAAAAATACTTACTTATTTTTGATATAGTTATCCGCTTGTATAGTCAAAGACTTAAAAACAAGGTTTGCTCAAAATTATTAATTTTTCATTACAATCTAAATCAAATAATACTTAACTCATATCTAAGTAAGACATACATTATAATGAACTTATGTTTATTTATATTTAACTAAAATCTACCATCTATTAATAAAATAAATAGAAGTTAATTAATTAGAATTTGAATAAATAATTTTACATTTATGGAGTAGATGATATTTTAGCTGGTTAATGCAACTATAATATTTTACTACTAGCATACTCTATATTTAATTATCTGAGAATCTAATATGCATATTTATTTATCTTGAGTATTTGAAAAAGCAGAAAATAAATACAGCAAATTATTTTTTACGTAAATAAATTGGAAAGAATTCCAATTTAAAACATAAATACTAATGTCTGACTAAAGCAAGAAATTCATACTGATAACTTTAAAAACATCTGTTTAATTGTAAATAGTAATTTAATTAGAGCTCTTATCATAAATTGCAATCCAGTTTTAATCATTATCAAATTATTTTGCAAGAAAAATCTAAATCTAAGGCTTTAAATATAAAATACGGTAAGGACTATTAAATAAATTTTTATGCCAATAAAAGTCATTTTATGTTTAGAAAAAGTGAATTTAAGAATCACCATATTTAGTTTACCCAATATATATGTTATCTTCTTGTTATGTTTTAATTATTATCATATTTTAACTATCTATGACATTTTCTGATTTCTTGTAGTATTGTGTATCATCTAAACGATAATAATTAATAATTTAATCAACTGGTTAATTTTTTAAAGATGTACTTGTAGTTGTTAAATTTAATAATTATTTTGTAAGGAGATCAAATTTATAAAAAAAGTCAAATTCACAAAAGTATATTTATTTATCATCATAGAAAAAATTTGTTATGAAGAATCCAGATTAAATTCTATCAATATATTATAGGTCAAATGAAAAAGCTAATATATCATTAAATCCAATTAAAAATATCTCTTTAGAAATTTATGAAGTCAAAAAAATGTTTATATAAAACCTACCTAGTTTAACTGACTAGTATTTAAGTATTCTCTAGCTTATTGAAAATGGCTAAAATTAAAAATCTAATGTTTGTAAATAAATAAGATCTCCATCAAAAATTGCAGGTAGTCTTTTATCACTATCAATACACATAAATTCTACATAATTTTAAGTAGGAGAAAGGCTAAAAATCTAATTTAAACTAGCTGATACTAAATCAAACTAATAAAGAGACTAATCCTGATAGTTGAGAATGACTAAAAAATTATCTTGTACAACAATAAAACTGCCCTATATATCAGTCAAATTAGCAAATATTCTTTGGTTAGCTAAATCCACTATTAAGAATATGTCTTGTATTATCAACATTTATTTTGATTAAATGTAAAATGCTTTAGAACTTTCAGAATAGCTAGATATATTATAATTTAATATAATTTTATTATTAACAATATCAGTAATATACTCTTATAAAACGTCAGATTAAAATGATGTTATTAAATACTAATTTGCAATTACACGATTAATTATTTGTTACTAGCTTTTTACTTAAAGAGACTATTAAATGGTTGTTAAAATTCTTGGATTTTTTTAGAGGTTATTAAGTTAATAAATTATATTTTACTTGCTTATAAGAACCTAATCAAGGGAATAATTATTATTTATCGTATAAAATTAAGATTTTTTAATTGCTTAATTTACATTTAAAATTAGTTAATTTATAGATAAAATCTTGAAGCGTTACTATACTTAGCTCATTACTTGATTATAAAGCTAAATATTTTAGCTTAATGACTAATATGGATTAAGAAATTTGAATTAGAAATTATTTTTAATTAAATTGTATTTAATTTATATACAATTATTGTAAATTCCAAAGTTTTAAGCATATTAAAATGATCTTTTTAATATAATCTATATTTCATCTTACAATACCATAAAATCAACTAATTAATATTTTGGGAAATTCTTGTTTATTTATTTAAAATTTACATTGATTTCTGATTATGTATTTTAGTACTAATAGAAAGTGTCAGTTAAATTTGCAAATACATAAGAATTATAGTCTTCAAGTAAAATAAAATAGCTATTTGAAATTTTGTTATTACTTTCTCTCAAATAAAAAAAAAAACCCTGAGAGATTACCTAATTTATCAAAACTCCATCATAAGTGTCGTTAAACTTTATTAAGAGTAAAATTTCTCTAATTTAATCATATTACACTACTAAATTGAGAGATTAATAAGAAAGTATGAAACTTGGATATTAGTCTATTTTTAAAATAAGGATCTAGTCTATGAGCTCTCCATCTTACTGAAATGAATATTTGTAGAACTAATTTTAATGATCAAGAAATATTGAAGATAAAACATAATTATATTTTTGCAACAATATTTTATCAGGAATAGCACTGAAACATTATTTTGACTTTATAAGTGATATAGAAAAGTCCTATTGAAATGTTCCTACCTAAAATGAATAAAAAAAACAATTAATTTGAATTTATTTATAAGTAAATTAAATGATTACAAATAGTTAATTAACTTCTTAAGACTGAATATAATATCTGCTTAATATTTTTAATAGAGTAAAAGGGCTAATTTATAGTTAAATACTATTAATTTTTTTATTTTATTTGTCATACCATATTAAAGCTGAATCTTAGCTATTTACCATGAAAATGAGCATATTAACATCATCTACGTATTTAATATCATGCTTTTATTCCAAATTTTATTCATCGAATTCTATTTGTAGAGTCTCAAAATTCATAACATTAAACCTTTATCCCTGAAGACATCCACCATAAACTCCTGATAAAAAATACTACATTTATATCCCATCCTATCTATTAAAGAATTCGAATGCATTCATCTCTTGTAAAGTTTATTTAGTTATTATATTCCAGTTTTTATCCACAATAGCGAAGTTACATGTCCCACCACTCATAACTATGTATTGATTCTCTTTAAATATTGCAATATTATCCACAGAAGTATTCATAACAAAACTAGATAATTGCTGAATTTATGGGCATCCCTAAGTGTATTCACAAATCTAGCTACTATAATTCTAATAATAAGATTATTGGCAATTATTCGTGCATTTTCTACTTTCGAAAGGTGGATTAAGAAATTATATATCAGATTCACAAATCCCTTTTTTAGCATCGCACTAATTTTTATTTTTATCAAGCACTAAATTCTGATCACAAACCAGACAAATTTATTAAGAAGTGCACTAGACGCATCCATTGACTTTGCATTTAATGCATTTTTTACCTTCGCTATCAATAACTTCATTTTTTTGACACTAATTTTAACAAGTAGAAGCATCATCATAACTCATGTATGAATTTTTTAGGCAGCCAATGCATGATTATTGACTTATATTAAAGCAGTTTTCACAATTTGGCGAGCAACTAAGACAAGTTTGTGATAGAGCATCAAATATTTAAGATTTTTAACATATTTAAGCCAAGCAATACTTTATAAATATTAAATTTATAATAATTTTTTTTACCATATGTAATCTCATAATTTATATCCTTTAGTTAAACTAATTTGATAAGTTAATTCAAAAATTATTAGCAATTTGTTATACTGCAATGCATATCTTAAAATAAATCAAAAAATAAACTTTGTGGTTATCTCTTAATGTAAAAAAATAAATTTGAAATTACATGATTGAAAAGTATAAAAATCTGACTATTTTAAAACAAAATTATAATATTGTGATATTTCAACTAAATAAAATATAAATACCTTATTTAATTTCAAGTAAACATATTTTATAGTTTATTACACAAAAAAATGAGTAATAATAGAAATCTCTTTGAAAAATAATCTTTCCAAAATATTTCATTCATATGAAAAATATGAAAGAGCTTTTATTAATAATCATAAGATTCAAAATAAAATACATTAATTTACATTATTTACCCTATTTTTATTAGATATATGTAGAGTACAGTGTCAGATTGACATTTCTACTAGAATAAGAATTCTGATTTTTAAAAATCTTTCCCTTGACCGTACCCAAAAAATTTAATTTATGACCCAATTAACCCTATTATATTATTTTCTATTATATATATTAACTCAATCAAATTTAATACTTTTGGAATTTTCTTATTTCTACTTATCTTAACTAAGCTAATAAATAAATTAATCTAAGCAAATATATATAATTAAATACCATTCATTTCTCTAGTTGTTTCCAAACGACTTGATTTTTGAATGGCATTTTGCCAAAGAAATTCCTTTTCAATAAAAAATACCATATTTGTTTAGAAAAATAAATAATTTATTATCTTTATTTAATACATATTTTATTTTAGCTTTTTATAAAAACTTATTTTATTTATAATTACTCAATAAAATTAATTAGATTCATTATTTAGTATTTACAGAAAAATGTTAATAAAAAGAAATTTTAAAAATTATATCAAATAATTTTCACAATTTTTTTATTTGCTCTTAATTTTTTTAATTTCTAAATATTTTATAAAATAAAAAAAGTTAATAAAAAATGAGTTAACTAAAGCCTATAAAATTTAGCAAAAAAGATGAACTCTATTATTTGATACCAAATTTAGAAAATTTAGTTAGAAAGAAGGAAATTAAACTAAGAAAAGATCTTCAAATAACACTTCTTGTAGTTAGTGTAATATCATTTTTTTCTCTCAGAACAGGATATGAATTAGCTAGAATTTATGAAATCAAGCTAGTTTCTTAAAACGATTAAAATGAGTAAATATCAAGGTAATATGAATCATTTTTTTTTATATTATTCAGTTGTCTAAGTGGATGGTTTATTGATGTCTTATCAATTAGATTATCTTGGATTTTCTTTGTTCTGCTAAATATTACTGGATAAATGCTAACATTATTTGCTGTGATTACAGATTCATATTAAGTTTTGATATTAGCATAAATCATATTTTACAGCTTGCTTCCAGTCTGTATAATAACTTTTACATGTATTTTGTATGAAAACTCTTGCGAATTCAGAGTCAGGTTGAATAATGCAATTTAGCTTGAAATTTTCGGAGAATTTTTATCAATAGTTATTGTTTTGGGTTTAAATGCAATAAAAACAATATTTTAATACAACGAGGTATCAAGTAATTAGATTCTATAGTCTTTAGTTATATCAGGGTTAATAATTTGCTAATTTATTAATTTTCTTTCATTGTTGATATAAAGTTCTTCCTATTTCATAATCGATAAAATTAGATTAAAATCAAACAAATATTCTAAATATTTAATTTACTAAGGAACTGGCCTTTCGCTCAAACGAATGCTTCATTATTTTGCAAATGAAGATATGTTTTATTTATGCTCTATAGCAACAGTTTCTGGGTTTTAAAGTAGATTTATCAATTCAATAGATTATCCTAGTTCTCCTTTAGGTAATCTTTAATAATTATTTATCTTTTTAGTAAGTAGCTTGCTGGCTTATTTTATTATGAAAAATATTAATTCTAGCAAAAATTTGGTTTAAAATTGTTACAAATCAGTTTCTATTTGCATTTATATACTACTTGTAGTGAGTATTAGCTCAGCTCTAGTATATTTTCTTTCATAGTATGTATAAGTCTCTGAATATTTTGAGTACTCATTTGAGTAAATTCGAAATTTTGTTCTAATTAGTATATTTTTAATTCTGTACTCAATGATTCATTAATTGCTGCTTTTTCTACTACATCAACGATGCTCGATTAGAGGATTTAGCTTATCTTATACATTTGTATTTTATTCTAGCTTCTATGTAATATCTAACTTAATAGAGTCATAAGAATGTGCATTTTATATATTCTAAGTGGTTCACGTTTCATTAGTAGCTTACTTCAATTATAAATATTAAAAGAAAAAAAAATATACTTTTATGGAAAGTGATTTGCTAATTAGATATGAAATGAATTGAACATATTTAAATTCTTGTATTTAATATATTATTTACTTTTTTATGTTAAATTATTAGCGAGACTTTGATAAAAAATAGTAGAATGAATGCCTAAATTATTTAAATATTAAAAATTAACATTACTAAAATAAATTAATTAATAATTATGGCATTTTTTTCAGAATTAATAAATTCTATTTTTATTTTTAAAAATATAAAATATATATATATATGTGACATACATATTTATATATATTTAATTTTTATAATGTTGATAATCAAATTCGAACAATCTTTTTTTTAATAGAATAAGGATAGAAAATATCATTTAATTAATTAATTAATAATGAATACCTTCGATAATAAAGATAACAGTGAATAAAAATAATGATTTGATGAAGGTAATAATTAAAAATGTTCTTTGTGTTTACTATTTTCTTTTATTTAAAAAATCGCATTCATCCAAAATGTATGCTTTTCTTTTATATATTTCACAATTATTATTTTGAAGAAAAGGAAAATAGTACAAAAAATTAATTAAACTAAAAGAATAAAAATTCAATATTTTTATGAATAGATAGGTGTCTTGATAAATATTAAAGAAAAGAGTGAAAAATAAAATCATATTGCATTTAATTTAAACAAAATTTGAAACTGTTTGTTAAGCGCTAATATTTTAAACAATAATTGTTATATAGGAGTACAATTTTTCATAACTTTAATATTTATTTATTAGTGTTATTGGTCAGAATTATAAGATTTCATTAAATAATAGTAAATGAAATCAGTTTGACTTATTTCTGAGTCTCTTTAAGACGAGGTTAGAAACTTATTCTTTGGAAAGATGACCAGCTTGACCAACGTGTAATAACTCACCATTGTCATAGAGTTTATCAGAGTCATAAATGTATTCACCATGGTCTTCACGATTGTAGCTGCTCTTTTGGTAGAAAGCAGTAATGTTAATTTCACCGTTGTCGTAGAAGAAGTAATTTCCGTGGTATTCACCTTAGTCAACAGCTTCACCTTGATCAGTGTTTACTTGTTCATACCAGCTTCCAGAGAATTCACCTTGATCTTCACCTTTGTCTTCACCACTGTCTTCACCGCTATCAGAGAGTCTGAAAGAGAAAGCAGTTGCTTGGCAAACCAATAAAGCTACGAGCAATAAAGCGAGTAATTTATTCATTTTTTAATCTTATTTTTTGTTTCTTTTAATTTTTTTTTGAATTAATTAATTATCAAAGGATGAAGCAGAAAGGAACTGATTTTAAAATTAGGCAAATCATAGAAGGAAATCATTGATATTAATTGCTTCCTAATTAATTTATAAGGTAGCTATCTGATTAAAGATCAGTTAGCTGATTTATAATAAGGCTTGCTAATCAAATTAATTTATACACTTTTCTGATATTTTCTAATTAATTTAGATAGATCAAAAATAATTTAATGAATGATTATTGATGTTATTTCTAATTTATTAGAAATATCAAATCAGAAATCATAAAAAATAAACATCAATTTTAATTTGTCCTATTTTTTTTGATTACAATTTATTGAATTATGCTTGCTTCATAAGTAAATCCATAGCAACCATCATTTTTTTAATTTGCCTTTATAAAAAATATTTATATTTTTATGCTTATTCTACTACTAAATAAATTATAAATATTTTTCTTTTTTGACAATAAAAAATCAATAATATATGGAAAATTTATTCACTCATTCATAATTTCTTTTTTTAAATTGGCGAAGTATTTGAATTTTTTACAATTAATTTTCAAGACTAATAATTGACTCTCATATGTAAAAAATGGAGTCGCATGATTACACTAAATTCATAAAATAGATTAGTTTTTTTTTATATTTAATGTAATAAAATAATAAATAAATTATAATTTTATAAATTATTTAGCTTAAACAGAGTAATTTATCATTTTATTTAAATCTACATACAACAAATATATTAATATATTTACTAAATTTAGCTTTTATTCTTCTTGATTTTTTCTAAATATTCTTTTTATTAATGATATAAAATTCATTAATTATTAAAAAGAAAAATAAGAGAAAAAAGAGCCATATTTATTAAAAAACATTATTTAGTTGTTTATGTAAATCTACATACAACAAATAAATTAATATATTTACTAAATTTAGCTATTATTCTTCTTGATTTTTTCTAGATATTATTTCTTATTAATGATATAAAATTCATTAATTATTAAAAAGAAAAATAAGAGAAAAAGAGCCATATTTATTAAAAACATTATTTAGTTCTTTATGTAAATCTATATACAACAAATTTATTAATACTATTTATCAAATTTAGCTTTTATTCTTGTAGATTTTTTCTAAATATTATTTTTTATTACTGATAAATAATTGATTAATTATTAAATAGAAAAACAAGAGAGCAAAGAGCCATATTTATTAAAAAAATTATTTAGTTGAGAAATAAATCAATATTTTTGATCAAGCTGAAATAAAAATACCAAGCAACCAAAACGAAATATTGATATTTATTTACTATTAATAAAAATATAAAAATGAATTTTTAAAAGATAGGAGTTTTATATTTTAATGATTTTATTTCTAAATATATTTTATCAAGATTGAGATTATTCTTTTATATTTTTAAAATAGTCAAACTCCTGTTATAAATTTTATGTAGTGTTGGTTGGTGTATTTTTTTCAAAATTATTATTATTTTCTTCCATTTTTTATTTAAAAAATATATTTTAAAACTAGACATAAAATTAGTTTAGAATTAATAGTTTTTATTTTATTAAATAAATACTATTTTATGATTTTTTGTTTAAATAGCACTTTACTTTTATCATTGATATTTTTTTTTTACATTTTCCTTTAAAGGTAAAAAGGTTAGAAATACTTTAAAAATTTAGATTTTATAAATTTATTCATTTTTTGATCTGATTGCAAAAAACATAATCTTAATAAACTAAAGATTTTTATGAAGCAATTTATATAACTAACTCTCATTTTTATAAAAAGATAAAGTAGTTCATATTTAATAATACTCATATACTAATTAAACAATATATAAAATCATGTAATTCATCATATTTATATATGGATTTATATTTATTTTTTACTTAAAGTCTTGCAATTATTTGATATCCTGAAAATAAAAATTTAGTCTATTTTTAAAGAGAAAATATGATTCAAAAAGAAAGGAATTTATAATCAATATACAACTAATTTTTAAAAATTTTGATAGAATTATAACCTATTGATTAGACTTTAGATGATCAAAAATTATTTATTATCCAAGTTATGAAAACCCATACTTAATGCTGTAATTAGGTTGCCTGATAATGACCTAATTAGTGTTTAATTAATTAATTTTTCCCTTTTCCTTATCTAAGATTGTAAAATTTAATTAATTTACTAATCATTACTTAGATTAGGATAATTTTATAATATTCATTTTTAATATTACTTTAAAGTATAATGACAACCTTTTTCATTTTAAAATTTTTACTTTTAAAAAGAAAATAGTTTTTTATTTTACGCACACGTGTATGCTTATTTTTAATTTAAATATTTTTACTTTTAATATTAAAGAGACGCTCTTAATATTTAATCTTAAGAGTATTATATTTTTGCTTTACTCTCAAATGTATGACTCTCAACTTTTATTAATTTTTTTCAATACAGTAGATTACTCATTTTAAACACAAATAAAATCCTCTTTATTTAATTTTAGCTCAATATAAAAAATTAGCCATTTTTTTTATTATTATTAGCGCAATTTCTTCTGATATCATGCTTTGAGAGGCGAGTGAAAACCTAGAAGAAATTTTTTTTTAATTGTTTTTTTATAAAAGAATTTTTTTACTCGTTTTAGAGTCCATTTTAGATTAAATAAGGCAAATATATATATTGAATACATGAATCAGAAATCTTGTACTAAAAATTTGTTTAAAGATATTAGATGAAATTTAAAATAATTTACACTCATTGCAAAATATTTTAAAATTTTGTTAATAAATTCTTTAACACAGATAACAAAAACATAGTTTGGTTTTTTTAATTATTATAAAACTAATAATATTTTTTCATAACTTGATTTAATTTTTGCCCTATTTTAGCTATAAAAAATTCGAAGAAATATTTCTAAATGTTACTTAATTTTTTCATATTAAATATTTTATTATAAAATAGTTTATATTATTATAAATAAAAGATAAAATAAATATATTGCATCAAATTTTTCTTTATCTTCATCATAAATCTATCTAATTTGATACTGTATTTAATACATTAAATTGTTTAAAAATATGAAGATATTTGAAAAAAATTGGAGTAAATGGCATATTTGATGGCTAAAATACAGCAACAGATTATTGAAAATAAAACAACAAAGATATGATAAAAAATCTTAATAATTTTATTTTTTATTTGTATTTGAATTGAAAGTTTATGAAATGAATCAAATAATACTTTAAAAATATTTTCATTTTATGTTTGCGTAATAAAGTTTCTTAATAGATTATCCTTTTTTATTTACTTTAAATGAATTATTTTATTTCAAAATTTCAGAAAAAAAATAATTTTAATTATAAAAAACATAAATTATTTCAATAAGTTATGTTACTACTTATTAAATATGCATCAAAACATAAAAATAGCTTTAGATATTAGAACTTAGTATATATTTTATTAGAATATAAATTAACGAGCTTTTAAAATTTATTTTATATTATATATATCTTCTTTTGACTGAAATACCAAGCAATTCTGAATATTTACTTATTGTAAAAAATTTTAAAAATTTCAATATTTTTAAGCAATGTAGTAAAAAATTATTCTTTTTGGTTTGAATTTATTAGTTTATTATTTGGTGCTGTAATTAATTTGAATGATCATTTATTTCATATTAAAATAAGAGCAAATCTATTTTTTTTAATTATTAATCTTTTTAGCAAATTGAATTAATAAATTAAATCAATAATTAAAACTCTATGAATAAGAAATATAATCGAGTTAGTCTATATAATTTAAAATTTATTAATTGATTTGACAGGTATTATTTTAAAGGACATAATTTATATTTACAAAAAATCTTCTAATTAACTAAATAAATGCAAAAAATTGTAATAAAAGGTCTTTACTAAACAAGAATTATGTATTTTGTTTCTTTCTTATTTGAAGTTTAATCACATATAAAAAAACTGTTTTTTAAAGATGAATACTGGTTGATTTAATATTTTGAAAGAAATATAAGCTTTCATCTTAATTGTAGCTTTTTAATTCAATTATTCTTAGATCTAAGCCTCTTTAAGACGAATTTAGAAATTTCTTCTTTGGAAAGTTTATCATTATAACTATAATGAACAAATTCACCTTTATCTGTGAGAAAATAAAACTTATGATTCTTTTTTAAACTCTTGATTGTTGAAAATATTTATTTCGTAATAAGCAGTAATCTAAACTTCGTCATTGTCATTGTAGAATTAATATTTACCTTGATACTCACCTTAGTCAACAAATTCAGTATTGTCAGTAAAATTAGTTTATGACCAGCCACCATTAAACTCGCCATTATCTTCATCTTTATCTTAATCAGCTTCTTTAACTCGATTTTTTCCTTTATCAGAACTTCTAAAAGAAAAAAAAATGGCTTAGCGTAGCAATAAAGTTATAAGTAGTTTAGCAAGTAGTTTATTCATTTCAAGCATTTTAAATAAAGACCTTCTTAAATGCAAAGATTAATTACAGCATTTGTTAATAATCTTTTAAGTATTTTATAATTTACTAAGTAAAATTTGTATGTATTCAAACTTTATTTAAAAAGACATTGAATAGAATTAAAAAATAAAATTTAAAATAATATTATCAATTGGATTAATATTATAAATACAAAATAATTAACTTATGCTAATAAAAAAATTTATTTTAAAAATTAAGATGCATAAAAGATGTAATAAATTGGTTTATCTTAAATATTATTTATAAAGAGACACAAATATTTATATATATATATACTTGTTATAATATAAAATTCGATCAAAAAAATATTTTATATATAAACTCTATTTTATAAGATAGGCTTTGACGAATCTTTTCAATTTGAAATATAGACTTTCATCTTTACTTTTTCAACACGAATCAGTTTTTCTTAGATCTAAGTCTCTTTAAGACAAGGTTAGCAACATCTTCTTTGGTGAGTTGACCATCAAGACCAACGTGTAAGAGTTCACCTTAATCGTAGAGTTTATCAGATTCATAAATGTTTTCACCAAGGTCTTGACGATTGTATTACTATTTTTAGTAGAAAGCAGCGATGTTAATCTCACCATTGTCGTAGAAGAAATAATTTCCGTGGAATTCACCTTAGTCAACAACTTCACCTTTATCAGTGCTTGATTCTTCATACCAGGCTCCAGAAAATTCACCATTGTCTTCACCCTTATCTTCTCCGCTATCAGAAAGTCTGAAGGAGAAAGCAGTAGCTTAGCATACCAACAGAGAAACGAGCAATAAAGCGAGTAATTTATTCATTTTTTTATTTTGTTTCAAATTTGTTTTTTGTTTATTAATTAATTACCAAATCATCAAGAAAATACATGCTTTTTTAAAACAAAAAAAACTAAAGAAAGTACTAATGTCTAAATTAATTAATTTTTTCTGATACTGATTAAAGATAAGTTAGCTAATTTTTAATTAGGTTTGCTGATAATATAAATTTGATCAGGTTCTTATGATTTCTTTCTCATAAGAATTTATCTAATAAATTTAAAATTTATATTAGTTATTTTTATTCTTTATAATAGAAAGAAAATCTATTATTCTGAATATCAATTAACTTATAATAATAAGTAAATTTAAGATTTGTTGAAATTATTTTGATGTAAAAACTTAACAAATTAAAAGAATTAAATTATATTTTTTTTCTTTTATAATTAATGATTAAAACAAATTAATTGATTAAATGAAAAATAAATTTGATTTTTTTTGTCTTTTCGACTTTAATTATAAATCTAATTTTTTTTGTATTTACATATTTTAATTAATCACTATTTTGTAAAAGGATGCAATTAAAGCACAATATTTATTATTTTTAATAGATGTTAATTTTACTATCAATCATTAAAATATATAGTTAAATTTTCTTAATAGAATGTGTAAGTAAGACATTAATTTATTTTTGTTAAAGCAAAATAAAAAATTTTTTTAGTAAAAGAAAATATCAATCAACTTTAAAAAAATAAATAATTTACTACGATTAATCTTGAGCAGAAAAATTTATAATCAAATCTAAACAAAACTCAAATTAAAATAAATGATTATGTTTCTCAATTTATATCAAGTAAATTATAAAACTACTGCAACAAATATTAATTAATTATTTTTCTTTCAATTTTAATTTTAGGCTTTAAATTGAGTAAAAAGACAAGACAGTAATAATAATAAGATGAATTTCATTTTTACATGTAAAATGTATTTAAACTTAATATTCCATAAAGTAAATAAATAAAACGTATTTCCTCACAAACTCAGACCTCCAATTTATGTAGATTCGTCGAATAAGAGAATGAAATATGCTTGTAAATTTGACTAAATAAATTATTATTCTACTGAGTTCTCATTCCCATTATCCTTTATATCTTAAACAAAATATTTTCTCTATTGCATTTTTAAAAATTTAATTTTATCTTCTTTTTAATAAAAAAATCAGACATTTCTAAATATCAAAGAAATTGTATAAAAAAGTATATATCTCATGCGAAAATAATCAATTTAATGTTTTAGCTTAATTTTTTTCTAGATTTAGATCTAATTTTCTTTTAATCGTAGATAATTATCAAATAAATAAATATAAATAAATTTGATTTTATGAGTAAAATTGTGATTAATTTCTTATTTTTTTAAATCAAATACTAACTAATCATTTTTATAAAATGCTATTGTAAAATTAAAAATATGGATAACTTTTTAATGAATACAATTTATTGTGCATAAAATTCATCTCCAAAATTTGAAGTTATATTTTCAAGAAGGATTACTTTTACATACAAAGAATTTGTACTTAAAGTTCATTACTATTAATTGTTGTAAATTCATATATTATTATAAGTAGTTTTTTATATCATCAAGATATACTAATAATATTAATTTTACTTTAATTTGTATTAATTTTGTTAATATTCCTATTTTAAAATTGAAATAAAAGTAAACATTTAAACTATTTTAATATTTTGTTTCACTTAAATAAAGTTTTTAAAATTACATTTTACTTTCTATTACTAAGGATTAGGAGTTATTTAGTAATAGGGAAATTTACTTTCTCCTATATTTAAATTTTTTTAATTTTAAAGAACAAAGTAAATAATTACAGTTGAAAAAATGTAAAGTTAGGAATTTATGTCTGTGTTTTACTAAGAAATCAAAAAATAAAAAAACTCTGAGCTGTTAAATATTTTACTTTAGAAATATTTTATTTTAATATAAAAAAATATTTAATATATTAATTAATATTTCAAATTATAAAATTAAAAAATAAAGTAATTTTATTTTTAGTTACAAAGTATACCGTATAATATACAGCAAAACCGTATAGACGGTCTATTCCTAATATAAGTACAATAATACTTCAATTATGCTCTTTAAAAAAAATTTATATGTAAATATGCATAAAAATGTAATAAATTAGCCTAACTTTAATATTGTTTTTTAAGAGACATAAATATATATATATAAATATAACTTGTTTATAATATGAAATTTGATCAACAAAATATTTTATATAAAAAACTTTATTTTGTAAGAAAGGATTGACTGATCTTTTCAATCATTTTTATTTTTGAATTGCGAATCAGTTTTTCTTAGATCTAATTCTCTTTAAGACGAAGTCAGTAACTTCTTCTTTGGTGAGTTGACCTTCAAGACCAACGTGTTTGAGTTTGCCCACTTTGTAGTGTCTATGAGTTTCATAAATTGATTCACCAATGTCTTGAAGATTTTCTTGCCATTATACGTAGTTAGCGGCGATGTGAATCTCACCATTGTCAAAGAAGTAATACTTTCCTTTAAAATCACCATCTTCAACAATTTCACCTTAATCAGTGCTTGATTCTTCAGACCAGACACCATTAAATTCATGAATGTCATAGTCAATGTCTTCAGCCTCATCTTCTCCATCTTCTCCGCTGTCGATGTCATACAATTTTAAAGAAAAATCAGTAGCTTAGCATACCAATAAAGAAACGAGCAATAAATCGAGTAATTTATTAATTTTTTATTTTTTAGTTTAAAATTGGCTTTTTGTTTGTTTATTAATTACCAAATCACCAAGGAACATATAAGCTATTTTAAAAGCAATATAAACTAAAGAAAGTACTAATTGCTAAATTAGTTAATTTTTTCTGATGCTGTTTGATTTTTTTTTTGAGTCTATTTGAATCTATTTATATATCTAATTTTGTATTTACTTTAATTACTAATCAATATTATGTAAAAGGATGCAATTAAAGCACAAGGTGTATTATTTTCAATAGATGTTAATTTTACAATCGATCATTAAAATATAAAGTTAAATTTTCCTAATTGAAAAGTGTAAGTAAGACATTAATTAACTTATTTTTGTTTAAGCAAAATAAAAAGTGTTTTTTAGTAAAAGAAAATATCAATCAACTTTAAGTAAATAAATAAATGACCATAATGCTTTGTTTTATTATTCTTTATTTAATGTTTTTAAATTTTTGAGATAAATGTTTTTGATAACTGCTCATAAATAATAAAATAATTATTTTTAAAAATTATTAAAATCCTTCATATAAGATTATCAATAAAGAATTAAGAGGCTTTTCATAAATTAAATTATTTATAATATTATCTAAAAAAAACTCAAATTAAAATAAATGATTACTTTTCTCAGTATATTTGAAAATAATTCATTTTATTTATATCAAATAAATTAGAAAAACACTGCAACAAAAATTAATTAATTAATTATTTTTCTTTCAATTTTAATTTTAGACAGACTTCATATGATATATTATTTAGTAGATATTATAAAAGAAATTTACTCATAGTTATTGTAAATTATAATTAATAATTTCATTTTATTTAAATAATTATGAGATCATATCATTTTTATTTTTTTAAAATGCTTTTCTTCACTCATAATTTGAAACATATTTACTTGTAAGATCAATAAATAATATGTTGTCTGTCCAACATTGTTAAAGCCTAAAAAATTTTCTTCCTCTATTTTTTGATGATTAAATATTATCTATGATTTTATAATGATAAAGACAGTGATAATAATTCAATTTTAACTTATATTAAGCTGATAAGCTTAAATAGAAAATCTTAAGTGATATTTTAAATATTATTATCTCAATTATTATTTATATAATTTCACCATAATTATTTTTTTACACTGATTTCCTAGTTTTATACATTTGTCTCTATTAAATTTTAGAAATTTATAATATCGAGCTTGAAAGTAAAAAATATAAACAAGATATCTAAAGAAAGGAGTTCATTATTAATACATAAGCTCTCTTTATTGCTTAGCACTCTTCAAATGTTTTTTGAAAAAGAATTTGATGATTTAATATTTTCTAGGAAATCAGAAATCTTATTAAAATCTACTATTGATATTATTGATATATTATTTCAAAGTTTGATTTATTAATATTAATTTAAGAAAGATTATTTATTTTTACTAGCAAAATTGTGATACTCATTCGTATAAAACTAAAATCACTGATAATAAATAGTTCATATTTATTAAAATGCTTATTATAATTTTAATGATATAAATATTTATGAATTATATTTTAATAAATATTAATATTCGCCTTATTACTGGACTAAAAAATTATATCTAATATTTTAAAAATTATATTATTAAATTATAATACATTAATTGATAGAATTTTATCAATATATGATAGCCCATCTTTGATTATTGCAATTTTTATAAGTATAAGTTTTCAAATAAATATTAAGATTTAATAATTAATTAATGTGACACTAAGTTTTTTTTATTTATTTTCCTATAATCAAATAAATTGATAAATTTTCTATTTGATAATTATGAAAATTTAACTATTCTTTTTAACTAAATTAGTTTGATATAATATTTAATTAATTTATAAAATCGCTTATTATCTATAAATAAATTGATATTCAATATTTTTGAAAATAAAATAAATGATATAAGATAAAACGTATTTTTAGGATTTAGAACAAGTAAATATTTATTTTTTTAGCAAGATTATTTAAATTATTTTTATTTAATCAAATAAGTTTTTAAGCTCTTCACATTTATCCTTTTAGATTCTCCATATTGATCTGAAAAATTAGTAAATTTGATTTATTAATTTAATAAATATTCTTATTAATGTTTTTTTAGTTTTAATTTTGATCTGATTTACAATATTATTATTTTTTATTTAACTGATCATCTATATTCATTAGCTTTTAACTTAATTTTCATTCAACTTTTATTTTGATTAAAAACTCTTTATTTTTTTATATTTTATATTTTCTCTTCATTTTTTCCTTCTAACTAAATAATTAACTTCATAATTTTTCTTCAATATTTAAAAGGTGGATTTAATTTGATGATGAAATTACATTAAGTTTAGGTTCTGCTTTAGGCAAGTGCACTAATCTCTCAAATTTGACACTTAATCTTGAGTAAAAACTGTTTATTAGTTTTCGATTGTGATATTTTTGAATATAAAATGAATTTAAAACAATAGAACTAACTAATCTTTTAATTTATTTATTTATTAGCTTTTTATTTCATTTATTTTTATAATTCTGCTTGCATTTTTTGTTTATTTCCGTTAGTTAATTTAACTCATTCTTTCATTTTCAACTTTTATTTTCATTATTATTTCATATTATTTCTTCATTTTTTCTTACTAACCAACTAATTAATTAGCTGTATATTTTTTCTTTATTATTTAAAAAGTCGAAATTAAATTGGTGATAAAGGTTTATCAGGTTTAGGTTTAGCTTTAGGAAAGTGCACTAGTCTCTAAAATTTGACACTTGATCTTTCGTAAAAATAGTTTATTTGTTTTTAGTTTATGATATTTTTTAGTGTAAACAATTACTTTATACAAAAAAACTAACTAAATCTTATAAATTATTTTTTTATTACTTTTTATTTGATTTATTTTTCATTTTTTTATTCTTGGTTTATTTTTATTTCCTTTTATATTTCTTAATTTAACTCATTTTTTTATTTTTAACTTTGATTTCATCATTAATTAATTACTTCTTTTCTTATTAATTAATATTTTTTCTTCATTTTTTTCTTTTAACCAACAAATTAACTGTATATTTTTACTTCCATATTTAAAAAGGGAAAATTAAATTGGTGATGAAGGTACATCAGGCTTAGGTTCTGGTTTAGGAAAGTGCGCTAATCTCTTAAATTTGACACTCCAACTAAAGTAGAAATCGTTTATTTATTATGGATTGCGAAGTTTTTGAATAAAAAATGAATTTAAAAATAAAAAACTAACTAATTTTTTTATTTATCTACAAGCTTTTTATTTGATTTATATTTTTTTTTTATTTTGATTAAGTTTTTATATTTATTTATTTGTTTCTTTGTTTTTTTTGTTAATTTAAATCATTTTTTCATTTTCAACTTCTATTCTATTATTAATTAATTAATTTCTTTTTATTTCATATTTTTTTCTTAATTATTTCCTTCTAACAAACTAATCAACTATATATTTTTTCTTCAATGTTTAAAAAGGGAAAATTAAATTGGTGATTAAGGTACATCAGATTTAGGTTCTGGTTTAGGAAATTGCCTTTTTCTCTAAAGTTTGGCACTTGATCTAAGGTAAAAACAATTTATCTGTTTTGAATTGTGAAATTTTTGAACATAAAAATGATTTTAAAAGAGTATTACTAACTAACACATTTAATTTATTTATTAGTTTTATATTTGATTTATTTTTTACTTTTTTTTATTCTGCTTTTATTTATTTATTTATCTATCTCTCTATCTCTTTTAATGTTTTTTTTTTAATTTAACTCATATTTTTATTATCTACTTTTAGTATTATTTAATTAATTAATTCATTCATTCACTTCTTATTATTTCATATTTTTTCTTCATTTTTCCTTCAAATTAACTAATTAATTTTTTCTTTAATATTTTTAAGGAATAATTAAATTGGTGCAATTGGGGCATAAGGCTTAGGTTTTGGTTTAAGAAAGTGCATTAATCTCACAAATTTTACACTTTATCTATGGTAAAAACAATTTATTTGTTTGGATTGTGATATTTTTGAATTTTATTTATTTATTTCGTTTTTTGTTTGTTAATTTAATTCATTTTTTATTTTCAAATTTTATTTTTATTATTTATTTATTAAGGGAAAATAAAATTGGCGGTGAAGGTGCATCAGGCTTAGGTTTAAGTTTAGGAAAATGCACAAATCTTTAAAATTTGACACTTCAACTTTGGTAATAACATTTTATTTGTTTTGGATATACTTTTGAATCAAAAAATGAATTTAAAAAAAATAAACTAACTCTTTTAATTTTTGATTTATTAGCTTTTTGTTTGATTTCTTTTTATTTTTTTTTCTGCTTGTGTTTTTTTTTTATATTTATTTATTTTTTTGCAAACTTAATTTGTTTTTTTATTTTCAACTTTTACTCTTATTATTAATTTCTTATTATTTCATATTCTTTCTTCATTTTTCTTTCTATTTATATTTTTTCTTAAATAATTAAAAAAGGGAAAATTAAATTGATGATGAAGGTGTATCAAATTTAGGTTCTGGTTTAGGATAGTGCACTAATCTCTCAAATTTGACACTCCGTCTATGGTAATTTATTTGTTTTGGATTTAAATATTTTTAAATATTAAAATGAATTTAAGAAAATAAAACTAACACTTTAAATTTATTTATTAGCTTTTTATTTGATTTGATTTTTTTTATTATTAATATTTTTATATATGTTTATTTATTAGTTTAAATCTAATTTTCAACTTTTGCTTTTATTATTAATTAATTAATTAATTTCTTTTTATTTTAATGTTTTTTTCATTTATACTTTGTAATTAACTAATTAACTGTATATGTTTTCTTCAATATTTAAAAAGGTAGAATTAAATTCATGATAAAGGTACAATAGGCTTAGGTTCTGGTTTAGAAAAGTGCAATAATCTCTCAAATTTGACACTTGATCTATCGTATAAGCAGTTTATTTGTTTTAAATTATGATATTTTTGAATATAAAAAAGAGTTTAAAACAAAAAAACTAACTTCCTCTTTTAATTTGTTTGTTAGTTTTTGTTTAATTTATTTTTCTTTTTTTTATTCTGCTTTAATTTTTATTTATTTATTTTTAGTTAGTTAATTTAATTCATTTTTTTATTGTCAACTTTTGCTTATTATTAATAAATTTATTAATTTCTTATTACTCCATATTTTTCTTCTTTTTCCCTTCTAACTAACAAATTAACTATTTTTTATTCAATATTAAAAAGAGAGAATTCAATTGGTGCAAGTGGTGCATCAGACTTAGGTTTTAGTTTAGGAAAGTGCAATAATCTCTCAAATTTGACACTTAATCTAAGGTAAAACAACTTATTTGTTTTGTATTGTCATAATTTTGAATATAAAAATGAATTTAAAGCAAAATAAAAAAATAACTAAATTTTTAATATTTATTTGATTTATTTTTTCTTTTTTTATATTTATTTGTTTATTTATTTACTTGTTAATTTAACTCATTTTTTCATTTTCAACTTTTATTTTATTATTAATTAATTATTTTCTTATAATTTTGATATTTTTTCTACATTTTTCTTTTAAATAAACTAATTAACTTTTTATTTTTCCTTCAATATTTAAAAAGGTAGAACCTAATTGGTGCAATTGGTGCATCAGGCTTAGGTTATGGTTTAGGAAAATCCACTAAAATCTTAAATTTAACACTTGATCTTTAGTAAATACAGTTTATTAGTTTTGGATTGCGATATTTTTGACAAAAATGAATTTAAAATGATATTAAGTTTGCTTTATTTATTTGCTTGTTATTTAATTTTTTTCATTTTCCACTTTTGTTTTTATTATTAAATAATTTCTTATCATTTCATATTTTTTCTTTATTTTTTCCTACTAGCTAGCTAATTATCTAAATATTTTTTCATCAATATTTAAAAAGGTAGAATTCAATTGGTAATACAGGTGTATCTGCCTTAGGTTTTGGTTTAAGAAAGTGCATTAATCTCTCGATTTTCACACTTTATCTAAGGTAAAAACTGTTTATTTGTTTTAGACTATCATATTTTTGAATAAAAAAATGAATTTAAAAAAGTGTAATTAAATTACTAACTAACAGTTTTCATTTATTTATTTATTAGTTTTTATTTGATTTATTTACTTTTTTAATTCTGCTAACATTTTTAATATTTATTGATTTAAAGTATAATATTTTATTTATTTTTTTTAGTAATTGATTGTAATTTTTATTAATAGTAAAAATTAACTTATTGAAAGATTTTTATATCCGAAACCAAAGTACCTTAAATAAAAAAGATTAGTTGACTTAAAAATACAATATTTATGATATAATCAATAAATATAAATTTATATAATATGTTTTATTTTATTATATTCTGTAATCAGAAAAATTAAAAAAGAGATTAATTTATATATTATAAAATATACTTAAACACCTTAAAAATTTATTTTATTCTATTGAGTTAGCATTCTCATTTTTCTTTTTATCCAAACTCTATTTCCTATAATTTTAAGTACACATTTTAAATAAAAATATTTAGATTTTTTTAATAATGAATATTTATTCGTTCACTAACTGTTTTAAGATTACTCAAACTAAAACAAATTGATAAATTCATTATTTGTTTGTCCTTTTTATTCATTTATAATTAAATAATTAATTAATCAAATTTCCATAAATTCATAAATTGCTTTTCAACATTTTTGAAGAAAAAAAATTAAATGTTATAGTAGATTAAAAATTACAATAGAATAGAAGAAGTAATTATTTATTTTTTTATTAATTTACTTTAAATTTATTTTTGCTAATATAAAAAGTTTTTAAACTCTTCACTTTTATCTCATAAGGCTCTCCATATTGTACTGAAGTATATTTAATTTATAAATATTATAATTAATATTTTTTAATATTTAACTTTCAGTTAGTTTAAAATTTTAATTTTCTAATATAAATTATCCCCTTTATTATCTAATTTTATTTACAATTGTTTTTTTTGTTTTAATTTAATTTTCATCTTAAATATTTTAAATTAATTATCCATAATATTTTATTCATTATTTATTTATAAAACTTCTAATTAATAAAAACAGTTTATTAGTTTTTGATTGTGATATTTTCTTCAATTTAAAATAAAAAAACTTTTTTAATTTTTTAAAAATTACTTTCCTTTTACTTTTTTATTATTTTTGCATCTATTTTCTTTTATATTTGTTAATTTAGCATATTTTTTTATTTTTAATATTTGCTTTTATTATTTATTTATTGATTTCTTTTTATTTTATATTTTTCCTTTCTAAATTATTAATTAATTATATATTTTTTCTTCAATATTTAAAAAGTGAAAATTTAATTGGTGCAGAAGATGCATCAAACTTAAGCTCTGGTTTAGCAAAGTGCACTAATCTCTCAAATTTGATGCTTAATCTTTTGTAAATTCAATTTATTTGTTTTGTATTGTATTATTTTTACATAAGCATTGAATCTAAAACAATATAGTTCTTTTAATTTGTTAATTGCTTTTTATTTTATTTACTTTCATTTTTCATTTTTATTGAACTTGTGCTTATTTTTCTTCTATCTTTCTAAATTTAATTCATTTTTTTATTTATAACATTTGCATTTATTATTTATGTATTAATTAATTTCTATTTATTTCATATTTTTTCTTTCGAAATTATTAATTAATTATATATTTTTTCTTAAATATTTTAAAAGTAATAGTTCAATTGGTGCAAAAGGTGCATCAAGCTTAGGCTCAGGTTTAGCAAAGTGCACTAATCTCTCAAATTTGACACTTATTCTTTAGTAAATTCAATTTATTTGTTTTGTATTGTATTATTTTTACAAAAACATTTAATCCAAAACAATTTGTTCTTTTAATTTGTAAATTGCTTTTTATTTGATTTACTTTTATTTTTCTTTTTTATTGAACGTATGTGTGCTTGCTTATTTTTCTTTTATCTTTCTAAATTTAACTCATTTTTTTATTAACAAAATTTGCTTGTACTATATTAATTAATTAATTTCTTGTTATTTTATTCATTTTTTCTTATTAAATTAAAAATTTATTTATATTTTTTCTTCAATATTTAAAAAGTGAAAATTTAATTGGTGCTGAAGGTGCATCAAGCTTAGGTTCTAGTTTAGCAAAATGTGCTAATCTCTCAAATTTGACACTTGATCTTAGGTAAATTTAATTTATTTGTTTTGTATTGTATTATTTTTACATAAGCATTGAATCTAAAACAATATAGTTCTTTTAATTTGTTAATGGCTTTTTATTTTATTTACTTTTATTTTTCTTTTTTATTGAACGTATGTGTGCTAGCTTATTTTTCATTTATCTTTCTAAATTTAACTCATTTTTTTATTTATAACATTTGCTATATATTAATTAATTTCTTGTTATTTTATTCATTTTTTCCTACTAAATTACAAATTTATTTATATTTTTTCTTCAATATTTAAAAAGATCTAATTAAATTTATGATTAAGGTGCATCATGCTTAGGTTCTTGCTTAGCAAATTGTACTAATCTCTCAAATTTGACCCTTAATCTTAAGTAAATTCAATTCATTTGTTTTGTATTGTATTCTTTTTACATAAATTATTGAATCTAAAACAATATAGTTCATTTAATTTGTTAATGGCTTTTATTTGATTTAATTTAATTTTTCATTTTTATTGAACTTGTGCTTATATTTCTTCTATCTTTCTAAATTTAACTCATTTTATTATTTTCAGCTATTGCTTTTATTTATTATTAATTAATTTCTTATTATTTCATATTTTTTCTTCATTTTTTCTTTCTAAATTATTAATTAATTAAATATTTTTTCTTCAATATTTAAAAAGTTAAAATTTAATTGGTGCTGAAGGTGCATCAAGCTTAGGTTCTAGTTTAGCAAATTGCAATAATCTCTAAAATTTGAAACTTGTTCTTGCGTAAATTCAGTTTATTTCTTTTGGATTGAGATACTTTTACTTATAAAATTGAATTTAAAACAACATAGCTCTTTTAATTTGTTTATTGTTTTTTATTTAATTTCCTTTTCTTTTTCTTTTTTTATTGAACTTTTGCTTATTTTTCTTCTATCTATCTATCTATCTATCTATCTATCTATCTATCTATCTATCTATCTATCTATCTAAATTTAACTCATTTTTTATTTTCAAAATTTGTTTTTATTATTTATTTATTTATTAATTTCTTACTATTTCGTATTTTTTTTCATTTTTTCTTTCTAAATTATTAATAATTTATTCTTCAATATTTAAAAAGTCGCAATTCACTTCATTCAATTGGCGCATCAAGGTTAGGTTCTGGTTTAGCAAATTCCACTAATCTCTCAAATTTGACACTTTATCTTGGGTAAATTATAATTGTTTTAGATTGTGATATTTTTATTTATAAAATTGAATTTAAAACAAATTGCATAAATCTATTAAATTAATTCGACAATTATTCTTTGTTAAATTCAGTTTTTTTTGTTTGGATTGCGATATTTTTACATATAAAATTGAATTTAAAACAATATAAATAGCTCTTTTAATTTGTTAATTGCTTTTTATTTGATTTAATTTTCTTTCTTTTTTATTGAACTTGCCCATATTTTTCTTCTATCTTTCTAAATTTAACTCATTTTTTAAATTTAAACGTTAGCTTTTATTAGCTATTAATTAATTAAATTCTTATTGTTTCAAGTTTTATCTTCATTTTTTGTTTCTAAATTATTATTTAATGATATATTTTTTCTTCAATATTTAAAAAGTGAGAATAAAATTGGGACTGAAGGTGTATCAAGCTTATTTTCTGCTTTAGTAAATTGCACTAATCTCTCAAATTTGACACTTGATCTTAGGTAAATTCAATTTATTTGTTTTGGATTTTGATAGTTTTACTTATAAAATTGAATTTAAAGCTCTTTTAATTTGCTTATTATTTTTTATTTTATATAATTTTCATTTTCTTTTTTATTAAATTTGTGCATATTTTTTTTCTATCTTTCTAAATTTAAATCATTATTTTATTTTTAACATTTGCTTTTATTATTTATTTATTTATTAATTTATTACTATTTCATATTTTTCCATTTATTCTTTCTAAATAATTAATTAATTATTTATTTTTTCTTCAATATTTAAAAAGTATGAATCAAATTTGTACTTAAAATTCATCAGGCTTAGGTTCTCGTTTAGAAAATTGCACTAATCTCTCAAATTTGACACTTATTCTTTTGTAAATTCAGTTTAATTCTTTTGGATTGTGATATTTTTACATATGAAATTGATTTAAAACAACTTAGCTCTTTTAATTTGTTAACTGCTTTATATTAAATTTAGTTTTCTTTTTCTTTTTTATTGAACTTGTGCTTATTTTTCTTATATCTTTTTAAATTTAACTCATTTTTTTATTTTTAAATTTGATTTTATTATTTATTTATTAATTTCTTATTATTTCATACTTTTCTTCATTTTTTCCTACTAAATTACTAATTAATTTAATATTATTTATTTAATATTTAAAAAGTTAGAATTAAATTGGTGCTTAAGGTACATTAGGCTTAGTTTCTACTTTAAATAGTTGCACTAATCTCTCAAATTTGACACTTGATCTTAGGTAAATTTAGTTTATTTGTTTGTATTTTGATACTTTTAGTTATAATCTGTATTTAAAATAACAATTTTCTTTTAATTTATTCATAACAATTTTATTTTATTTATTAATTTATTTATTTTTTCTCTTATATTCAGATAATTTTTTTTATATTAATTAATTTTAAACATAATTTTTTATAAAAAAATTTATTTTATTTAGTTTTTTATTTTAATTTAACATATTACAGAGCAGTAAACTTAACCAATCCATCATAATAAGGAAAAGTAAAAAACTAGTGTCTTAAATCAAAAAGATTAGTTGTCTTAAAAATAAGATTCTCTAAGTCGTGATATATATACATAAATACAAGCAGTGAAAAAGGATGAATAAATATAAAATATTTGAAAAATATAAAATAATATGTTTTATTATATAATATTTTGTAATAAAATAATTTAAATATATATAGATATTTAGATTTATTATTATTTTTATATTTATGAATATCATATTTATTTATATAGGTAACCAAAAAAATTTTCAAAAGTTTATGAGGGGGGGGGGGTTGTTAATATATGAGAACTTACAGTATATAAAAAATTTAAAAGCAAAAAATTAATTTTATTTAAAATTTAAAGATAAAATAAAATTTTATAACAAAGAATTGAAAACTAAATTATCAATAATATATTAGAATTCATAATTAATATATAAATAATCAATATTTAATTAAATAAGAAAAGGAAAATAAAAATAAAAAGAATTATTACAAATTAAAAAATTATTTTTTTATTTTTTTAAAATAAAATTAAAATAAAAAATGAAACATTTTAATATATTAAAATAAAATAGCTTAAAATATATAAATTAATTTATTTATTTTTTATTTTGATATTACAAGTAGCTTTTTAGTTAGAGATAAAATACTTAGTAAATAGCAATATTTATTATCTAATTTTAAGAGTTTTAGTATTAATAACCAATTATTTTTGAAATTATATATGCTTTACTTTATTAGTTTAAATTAAAAATATTAATCTAACTTTTTTTGTGATATCTCTTCCAAAAAGTAAATTGATTAGATTAATTAATTAATGAATTAGTTCTTTTTATCCACTTATAATTAATTAATTAAATCCCATCAATTGCAATTCAATATTTTTGAAAATAATAAAATAAATGATGTAATAGATTAAAAAATATAACAAATTAGAAGAAGTAGTTATTTATTTTTTTATCAATATACATTAAATTTATTTTATTAATATAAAAAATTTTTAAACTCTTAACTCTAATCTCATTAGGTTCTCCATATTGATCTAAGGTATTTTTAATTTATTAATATTATTATTATTAATGCTTCTTTTCTTTTATTTTCAATTTATTAAAAGTATTATTTTTCAAATAGAAATTCTCATCTATATTTATTCATTTTTACTTATAAAAATATTATTTAATTATTTTGATTTAATTTTCACTTACAATTTTCAATTTTTAATTATTTGATATTTTCTCTTCATTTTTTGCTTCTAACAAACTAATTAATAATAATTTTTTATTCAATATTTAAAAGTCGCTATTAAATTGATGCTGTTGGTTTATAAGGCTTATGTTCTGATTTTACAAAGTGCTCTAATCTCTAAAATTTGACACTTAACCTTTGGTACAAACTATTTTTTAGTATTTGATATTTTTTAATATAAAAAAGTAACACTCTTTAAATTTATTTGCTAGCTTTTTATTTAGTTTAGCATATTTTTTATTTTTTTTATTTTGCTTGTCTTTTTTTTGTTCTATCTATCTATATTTCTTAACTTAACTTATTTTTTAATTTTCAACTATTGTTTTTATTATTAATTAAGTAATTAATTAATTTTTTAATGATCCACATTTTTTCATTATTTTTTCCTTCTAAATAACTAAGTAATTCTATTTTTTTCTTCAATATTTAAAAAGTGGCAGTTCAATTAGTGATAAGGGTACATTAGACTTAGGTTCTGCGTTAAAAAATTGCACTAATCTCTCAAATTTGACTCTTAATCTTGAGTAAAAACAGTTTATTAGTTTTAGATTGTGATATTTAAAAAAAAAAATGAATTTAAAACAATTTAACTCATTTATTTTATTTTTTAGCTTTTTATTTGATTTCTTTTTCTTTTTTATTTTAATTGTAATTTTTTTTTTCTATCTTTGTTAATTTAACTCGTTTATTTTTTAATTTTCAACTAATATTTTATAATTAACTAATTAATTTATAATTATTATTTCGTATTCTTTCTTTCTTTCTAACTAACTAATTAATTTGATATTTTTTCTTCAATATTTAAAAAGTGGTAATTCAATTGGTGATTCAGGGCCATCAGGTTTAGTTTCTTGTTTAGGAAAATGCAGTAATCTCTCAAATTTAACACTTTCTTTAAGGTAAAAAAAGTTTATTTGTTTTAGATTGTGAAATTTTTTTATATAAAAATGAGTTTAAAAAAATTTTACTCTTTTAATTTATTTGCTAGCTTTTAATTTGATTTATTTTTTTTATAGTGCACATGTTTTTTTTCTTTGCTTACATTACTTATTTTTTAATTTTCAAATATTTTTGTTATTATTAATTAATTCATTTCTTATTATTTCCCTTTATTTCATTATTCTTTCTTTCTTTCTTTCTTTCTTTCTTTCATTCTTACTAACTAATTAATTTTTTATTCAATTTTTAAAAAGGGAAAATTTAATTGGTGCAAATGGTGCAACAAATTTAGGTTCTGCTTTAGTAAATTGCACTAATCTCTCAAATTTGACACTTGAACTTTAGTAAAAACAGTTTTTTGTTTTAGATTGTGAAAATTTTTAAAATAAAAATGAATTTAAAACCATTTTACTCTTTTAATATATTTGCTAGCTATTTATTTTTCTTTTTCTTTTTTGTTGAGCTTTTGTTTTTCTATCTTTGTTAATTTAACTCACTTTTAATTTTCAACTATTGTTTTTATTATTCATTAATTTATTTCTTATTATTTCATATTTTTTTCTTCATTTTTTACTTCTAACTAACTAATTAATTTAATATTTTTTCTTCAATATTTAAAAAGTGAAAATTAATTGGGTGACTAAGGTGCATCAGGCTTAGGTTCTGGTTTAAAAAATTGCACTAAACTCTCATATTTAAGACTTGGTCTTGGGTAAAAACAATTTAAAATTTTTGGATTGCGAGTGATATTCTTAATTTAAAGCATAATATCTAACTCTTTTAATTTATTATGATAGTTTTTTTATCTTTCTTTGTTAATTTTACTCATTTTTAATTTTTAAATTCTACTTTTTTCATTAATTAATTTTTTATTATTTCTAATTTTCTTTACATTTTTCTTCTATTAATAATCCATTTTTTCTTCAATATTTAAAAAGAAAGAATCAAATTGGTGATTAAGGTACATCAGGCTTAGGTGCTTTACTAAATTGCACTACTCTTTCAAATTTAAGACTCTATCTTTAGTAAAAACAATTTTTTTTGCTTTAGATTGTGATATATGTTAATATAAAAATAAATTTAAAACAATAAATACACCTCTTTTAATTTATTTGATTAATTTTTCTTTTTCTTTAAGATTTTGCTTGTATTTTTTTACTTTTTTCATTAATTTAATTCAATTTTTTATTTTTAAATTCTACTTTTATAATTAATTAATTTCTTATTATTTTATATTTTCTTCATTTTTTCCTTCTAAATAGCAAATTTGTTATATATTTTTACTTAAATATTTAAATAGTGATAATTAAATTGGTGATAAAGGTGTATCAGGTTTTAGTTCTGCTTTAAAAAGTTGCACTAATCTCTCAAATTTGAAACTTAATTTTGAGTAAAAATAACTGTTTATTAGTTTTAAATTGTGATATTTTTTAATATAAAAACACATTTACTCTTTTAAATTATTTACTAACTAACTAACTAACTAACTAACTAACTAACTATTCTTTGTTAATTTAAATAATTTTTAAATTTTCAACTATTGCTTTTATTATTAATTAATTCATTTCATATTATTAAATATTTTTTCTTCACTTTTTGCCTCTACTAAGTAATTAATTATTTCTTTCAATATTTAAAAAGTGGCAATAATATTGGTGATATCGGTACATCAGCCTTAGATTCTGCTTTAGCAAATTGCACAAATCTCTCAAATTTGATACTTAATCTTAAGTAATAAACTATTTATTTGTTTAGGATTGTGATATTTTTAATATTAAAATGAATTTAAACAATTTATCTCTTTTAATTATTTATTAGCTTTTTATTAGATTTATCTTTCTTTTTCTTTTTTATAGTGTTTTTGTTTTATTTCTTTCTTTATTTGTTGATTTAACTCATTTTTTAATTTTCATATTTTGCTTTTTTTATCAATTAATTCTTATTTTCACATTATTTCATTATATTTAAATAGATTCAATTAAATTGGTGCAATTGGTGCATCAAATTTAGGTTCTGCTTTAGTTAATTGCACTAATCTCTCAAATTTGACACTTGAACTTTCGTAAAAGCAGTTTTTGTTTTAGATTGCGATATTTCTTAATATAAAAATTAATTTAAAACAATTTTATTCATTTAATTAATTTAATTTCTTTTTCTTTTTTATTGTGCTTGTGTTTTTTTTCTTCCATCTTTGTTAATTTAACTCATTTTTTAATTTTCGACTTTTACTCTTACATTATAATTAATTAATTTATTATTATTATTTCGTATTTTTTTTCTTCATTTTCTCTTTCTAATTAACATAATATATATATATATTCTTCAATATTTAAAAAGTGGCAATTAAATTGGTGAGATTGGTGCATAAGGCTTAGGTTCTACTTTAGTAAATTGCACTAATCTTTTAAATTTGACACTTAACCTAAGGTAAAAAGATATTATTTGTTTTTAAATGCTATATTCTTGAATATAAAAATTAATTTAAAAAACAATAACTTTTTTAATTTATTTGATAGTTTTTTATTTAATTTTGCTTTATTTTTCTTTTTTATTGTATTTGTGTTTATTTTTTTTTACTATCTTTGATAATTTTACTCATTTTTTTATTTTCAACTTTTTCTTCTTTTATTAATTTATTTCTTATTATTTCATATTTTTTCCTTTTAACTAAATAACTTATATTTTTTTTTCTTCTTCAATACTTATAAAGTAGCAATAAAATTGGTTTAATTGGTTCTTAAGACTTAGTTTCTGCTTTAGCCAGCTGTACTAATCTCTTAAGTTTGAGACTTGACCTAAGGTACAAACAACTTATTTGTTTTTGATATTTTTTAATATAAAATGAATTTAAAACTATTAACTTTTTTAATTTATTTATTAGTATTTTATTTGGTTTGTTTTTCTTTTTTATTCTGCTAAAATTGTATTATTTATTAATTTAAAAATTTTATTCTATTTAGTTTTTTTTAATAATTTACTTTTTATATTAAAAGTTAAAACTTTATCAAATAAGTTCAATCATTGAAAATAAAAAGCATGTGCCTTAAATCTAAAAAATTAGTTTTCTTAGAAATAATTGTGAGAAACAGATGGTGAAAAAACGATGGATGAATATTAAATATTTTAATATTATAAAATAATATGTTTTTTTATAGTTAAACCTAAAATTTAGAAAGATAGGTTTATTATTTTTTTCATATTTATGAATATCATATTTATTTTTGTAAGTTATTAAATAGTTTATTAAATATAACGAAATTTATTTAGGGTAATTCCTTTTTGAGTGCACACATTGTGCGCTTGACACTTTTTGTGTAAATTTGCTCTTAACTATCTGTTTTAAATACAAATTTTAATATTAAATAATGAATTTTAAATTAATTTTGTGGTATCTCTTCATAAAAACAAATCTTTTAATTAATATTTGATATTTGGTTATTAAATTTTACTTGTTCTTTTTATCCGTTTATAATTAATTAATTAAATTCCATAAATTGCTTTTCAATATTTTTGAAAAAAAAAAATGAAATAATAGATTTAATAGATTCAAAATAAAAAAGAATTAGAAGAAGTAATTATTTATTTTTTTATTAATATCATTTAAATTTATTTTTATTGATAAAAAAAGTTTTTAAACTCTTCACTTTAATCTCATTAGGTTCTCTATATTGATCTAAAGTATATTTAATTAAAAAATGTTAAAAAAATTTTTTTATATTTAACTTTCAATTATTTAAAAAAATATTTTTCTATTAGAAATTCTCATCTTTATTCATTGATTTGTATTTATACAAAAATTTTTTAGCCATTTTAACTTAATTTTCATTTCAATTTTTAATTTTTAATTTTTTATTAATTTTTATTAATTTTTATTAATTTTTTATTATTTAATATTTTTTCTTCATTTTTTGCGATTAACATTTACAATTGATAAAAACAATTTATTTATTTTGGATTGCAATATTTTTAATTTTAAAAATTAATTTAAAACATTAAAACTCTTTTAATTTAATTTCTTTTTCTTTTAATTGTGCTTGCTTGTTTTTTTGTCTTTGTTTATTTATTTAACTAATTATTAATTAATTTTATTATTTCACATTTTTCTTCATTTTTTCCTTCTAATTAACTAATTAATTTTTTATTTTTTCTTCAATATTTAAATAGTTTCAATTAAATTGGTTAATAAGATGTATCACGCTTAGGTTCTGCTTTAGCAAAGTGCATTAATCTCTCAAATTTGAAGCTTTATCTTAGGTAAAAATAGTTTATTTGTTTTGGATTGTCATATTTTTATTTATAAAAACTAATTTAAAACAATAAAGCTCTTTTTAATTTTGTTTTTATTGTGCTTGCTTTTTTTTGTTCTTTCTTTGTTAATTTAACTCATCATTTTATTTTCAACTTTTGCTTTGTAAAAGCTAATTTAAAATAATGAAGCTCTTTTTCTTCTTGTTTTTATTTTGCTTGGTTTTTTTCTTTCTTTCTTTGTTAATTTAACTCGTCATTTTATTTTCAGCATTAACTTTTATTAATTACTCTTATTATTTCATATTTTCCTTCTAATTAACTAATTAAATATATATTTTTCTTCAATATTTAAAAAGTAACAATAAAATTGGTCATACATACATACATACATACATACATACATACTCGCACATGGTTACATGCACTCGGGATAGGGGCCCTATATATAATTACTTATACATTATTATTATACGTATACCAATTTATTTATATATAATTGTGGGTAATATACTAGAAGGGAAGGGTCACCTACACCCTAATGGCATTTCTACTAATCTTCCATGATTTGACTACGCATTATGCTCGCTTCCCATTTGTATTCCAGATCTTCTGTTCAGAATGGGGCCTCCTCTTTACCTCCTATCAGATTTGGCCCTTCCCTCCTACCAAGGAGACCGCTGGTAACATTCACATTTTTACATGGAATTTTTCGAAATAAAGGGGGCGGTATAGGATTCGAACCCCCGATATCACTGCTAAGACCCTCCGACTCGCCCACTCGAGCCGCTTAGCCCTTCTTTAAAATTGGTCATGAAGGTGCATCAGATTTAGGTTCTGCTTTAGCAAAGTGCACTAATCTCTCAAATTTGACACTTATACTTAAGTAAAAACAATTTATTTATTTTTGATTGTGAAATTTTTATTTTTAAAAACTAACTTAAAACAATAAAGCTCTTTTTTCTTTTTATTTTTATTGTTTTTGCTTTTGTTAATTTAACTCATCATTTTATTTTCAAATTTTGCTTTTATTATTAATTAATCTATCTTTTTATTTCATATTTTTTCTTCATTTTTTCCTTCTAATTAACTATTTAATAATATATTTTGTCTTCAATATTTAAAAAGTTTCAATAAAATTGGTGCAATTGGGGCATCAAGCTTAATTTCTGCTTTAGCAAAGTGCACTAATCTCTCAAATTTGAATCTTGATCTTAGGTAAAAACTTTTTATTTATTTTTGATTGTGATATTTTTTTATAAAAACTAACTTAAAACAATAAAGCCCTTTTTTTGTTTTTGTTTTTATTGTGCTTGCCTTTTTTTATTCTTTTTTTGTTAATTTAACTTTACATTTTATTTTCTACTATTGCTTTTAAATTTAAATAATCTTATTATTTCATATTTTTTCTTAATTTTTTCCTTCCAATTAACTAATTAATGATATATTTTTCTTCAATATTAAAAAAGTAACAATAAAATTGGTGATGAAGGTGTAACAAGTTTAGGTTCTGCTTTAGCAAAGTGCACTAATCTCTCAAATTTGACACTAAACCTTAAGTAAAAACAGTTTATTTGTTTTGGATTTTTATATTTTTATTTGTAAAAACTAATTTAAACAATAAAGCTCTTTTTTCTTATTATTTTTATTGTGCTTACATTTTTTTTTCTTCTTTCATTTTTAATTTAACTCATCATTTAAAATCTTATAATTTCATATTTTTTCTTCATTTTTTCCTTTAAACTAATTATTTATATATTTTTTCTTCAATATTTAAAAAGTTACAGTAAAATTAGTGATGAAGGTGCATAAGGCTTATGTACTGCTTTAGTAAAGTGTATTAATCTCTCAAATTTAGAACTTTATCTTAAGTAAAAACAGTTTATTTGTTTTATTTGTAAAAAATAACTTAAAACAATAAAGCTCTTTTTTTTTTCTTTTTATTTTGTTTCCTTTTTTTTATTGTTCTTTGTATTTTAATTTAACTCATTAATTTATTTTCAATTTTTACATTTATTATTAATTAATATATCTTATTATTTGATATTTTTTCTTCATTTTTTCCTTTTAATTAACTAATTAATTTTATATTATTTCTGCAATATTTAAAAAGTGGCAATCAAATTAATGATGAAGCTGCATCAGGTTTAGGTTCTGCTTTATCAAAGTGCATTAATCTCTCAAATTTGATACTTGAACTTAGGTAAAAAAAATTTATTTGTTTAGGATTGTGATATTTTTAAATATAAAAATTAGTATAAAACAAAAAAGCTCTTTGAATTTATTTTGATAGCTTTTATTTGATTTGTTTTTTTTATCTTTTTTATAGTACTAATTTTATTTTATTTATTAATTTAAGAAATAATTTATAATTTAAAAATTTATTTTACTTAATATTAATTTAAAGTTTTTACAAATTAATAAATAAAGAATAAACTACAAAAAGATATCATAAGAATTCAAAGTAATAAACAATTGTATGAAATCAAAGAGATTAGTTTTCTTTAAAATATAATTCTGACGATAAAGAAGTAGGGAAAAAAGGATGGATAAATGTTAAATGTTTGAATAATTGATTATATGTTTTATTATATAATTTTTTGAAAAAAATTTTTTAACCTTAAATATAGATACAAAGATACATAGATTTTATTATTTTTATATATATAAATATCATTCATATTTTTGTAAATTAATAAATAGCTAATAATAAATAAAAAATTTTTAAAAAAATTTCAGATTTTTAAAATATGAAAATAAATCTCAATAAAAAAATACATGTAAATATGCTAAAAAATTACTTTATTCTATTTAATGTGTGCGCATTTTAATAATCCTTTATAACATCCATAGTTCTAAATATATTTTTAAGTAAGCAAGCACTTTAAATAGAAATAGTATAATTTAATAATTAATTTTACACTAACTTTTTTGTGATTTCTCTAACTAAAGGCAAATTTATAAATTCATATAATTTGTTTGTTCTTTTAATCTGCTTTTTATTAATTAAATTAAATCCATAAATAGCTATTAAATATTTTTGAAAAAATAAATAAATGATATAATAGATTAAAAAGTATTGCAAATTAGAAGAGGTAATTACTAATTTTTTATCAATTTACTTTAAATTTAAATTTACTAATATAAACAGTTTTTAAACTCTTCACTTTTATCTCATTAGGTTCTCAAAATTGATTTGAGGTATATTTAATTTATAAATATTCTTATTATTAATACTTTCTTTATATTTAAATTGCAATTTATTTATTATATTATTCTTCTAATAAAAATTCTCACCTACATCCCCACTTATTCACTTTCTTAACACAAATGTTTTTTTGGTTACTTAATTTTCACTTTAAGTTTTTTAATTCATTTTCCATTTTTTATTATTTATTCGCTTTTTATTTCCAAAACTTTTAACTAATAAAAACAGTTTATTTTGTTTGGATTGAGATATTTTTACTTATAAAAATGAATTTAAAACAATATATCTAACTCTTTTAATTTGTTTATTGTCTTTTTATTTGATTTTCTTTTCTTTTTCCTTTTTATCATACTTGTGTTTATTTTTCATCTATCTTTCTTAATTTAACTTTTTTTATTTCCAACATTCCCATTTATCATTTATTTATTTATTCATTTCTTATTGTTTCATTTTTTCCTTCTAAAAAACTAATTAATTTTATATTTTTTCTTCAATATTTAAAAAGTGGGAAGAATATTGATGACTAAAGTGCATAGCGCTTTGGTTCTTCTTTAGCAAATTGCACTAATCTCTCAAATTTGACACTTAACCTTTTGTAAAAATAGTTTATTTATTTTGGATTGTGATATTTTTAGTTATAAAAACGAATTTAAATTAATAAAACTTTTTTAATTTGTTTTTAAGCTTTTTATTTGATTTATTTTTCTTGCTTTTTTCTATTGTAATTGTGTTTTTTTCTTCTATCTTTCTTAATTTAACTCATTTTTTTATTTTCAACAATTTTTAAAATTATTTATTTATTAATTCATTTCTTATAATTTCATATTATTTGTTTATTTTTCCTTCTCATTAACTAATTAATTATATATTTTTGCTTTAATATTTAAAAAGTGACTGTAAAATTAGTAATTAAGTTGCATCAAGATTAGTCTCTGCTTTAGCAAATTGCACTAATCTCTCATATTTAGTACTTAATCTTCAGTAAAAACAGTTTTTTGTTTTGGATTGTGATATTTTTATTTAGAATTTAAAACAATATAATTCTTTTAATTTGTTTATTAGCTTTTTATTTGATTTATAACTCTTTTTCATTTTATTTTTTATTGTAATTTCCTTTTTTTCTTCTATTTTTGTTAATTTAACTCGTTTATTTAATTTCAACATTTGCTTTTATCATTTATTAATTCATTTCTTATCATTTCATATTTTTTCTTGACTTTTTCCTTCTAAATAACTAATTAATGAAATATTTTTTCTTCAATATTTAAAAAGATTGAATTAAATTAATGATTAAGGTGCATTGGGGTTAGGTTCAGCTTTAGCAAATTGTACTAATCTCTCAAAATTGATACTTTTACTTGGGTAGATACAGTTTATTTGTTTTTGTTTTTGATTGTGATATTTTTATTTTTATTTTTAAAAATGAATTTAAAACAAAAAAACTCTTTTTATTTATTTATTAGCTGCTTATTTGATTTACTTTATTTTTCTCTTTTTATTGTAATTGTGTTTTTTCTTCATTTATCATTCTTAATTTAACTCATTTGTTTATTTTCAACATTTGCTTTTATTATTTATTAATTCATTTTTATTATTTCATATTTTTTCTTCATTTTTTCCTTTTAAATAACTAATTAACTATTTAATGATATATTTTTCTTCTCTATTTAAAAAGAAAAAATTAAATTGGTGATGAAGGTACATCAAGGTTAGGTTATGCTTTAGCAAATTGCACTAATCTCTTAAGTTTGACACTTTATCTTAAGTAAAAACCTTTTACTTGTTTTGGATTATGATATTTTTATTTATAAAAATGAATTTAAAACAATATTATTCTTTTAATTGTTTATTAGTTTTTATTTTATTAATTTTTCTTTTTTTTTTATTGCACTTTTGTTTTTTTTTCTTCCATCTTTCTTAATTTAACTCATTTATTTATTTTCACATTTGCTTTTATCATTTATTAATTCATTACTTTTATTTCATATTTTTTCTTCATTTTTCCTTCTAAGTTACTAATTAATTAAATGTTTTTTCTTAAATATTTAAATAGTAATAATTAAATTGGTGACTAAGGTGCATCAAGGTTAGGTTCTGCTTTAGCAAATAGCACTAATCTCTCAAATTTGACACTTTTACTTTGGTAATTACAGTTTATTTGTTTTGAATTGTGATATTTTTATTTTTATTTTTAAAAAGGAATTTAAAACAATATAATTCTATTAATTTGTTTATTAGTATTTTCTTTGATTTATTTTTTTATTTTTTATTTATTCTATTTAATTTTTTTTAGTGTTTTATTTCAATTTTATTTTATATAAAAGCAACAACTAAATCTATGTATCATAATAATTGAAAATAAAAAGCAAGTGTCTTAAATCAAAAAGATTAGTTTTATTTGAAATAAATTTCTAATGGTGATACATACGTAAGTGGTGAAAAAGGAAGAATACCAATAAAATATTTGAATAATAGAAAATAATATGTTTTAATATATAATTTTTTGTTATAAGATAGTTTAACCTAAAATATCTATATATTGATTTATTATTATTTTTATATATATGAAACTTATATTTTGGTAAATTAAAATAATAAATTAAGGCATCAAAATAATTAGCATCGGACCTCATTAAATAAAAAATAATTATTTAAAGATTTAATTTTTTAAAATGAAAATTAAGTTGAGATAGTAAAAAAAATTTTGTAGAATATAATCAATGAATAATCATGAGAATTTCTGTTAGAAAAATTATTTTTTTAAATAAACAGAAAGTTAATTATATAAAAAATATTAATAATATTAAAAAATTAAATATACTTCAGATTAATTTCGAGAACCTAATGAGATAAAACTGAAATGTTTAAAAACTTTTTTTATTAATAAAAATAAATTTTAAAGGATATTAATAAAAGAATAAATAATTACATCTTCTAATCTTATAATCTATTATATCATTTATTTTTTTTTCAAAAATATTGAAAAGCAATTTATGGAATATAATTAATTAATTATAAATGGATAAAAAGAACAAATAAAATATAATAATTATTAAATATTAAATATTAATTTAATATTTGCTTTTATGAAGAAATATAAGAACAAAAATTAATTTAACATTCATTATTTAATCTAAATATTTGTATTTAAAACATATATTGCTCATCCAGGAATTAAAATATGATGAACTGGAAGTATATCATGATATTTTAATTCCTAGATTATCTTTCAAAATAATAAAAAATTTAAACAATATTTTATAAAAAACTATTGCAAAATAATATTATCAATGAAATTCTTTAATAAATAAAAATACATATTTGTTAATTTAATTATGTATTAATAATAAAGATTTTCTTAAAAGTTTTTAATGAAGAATTTAATGCTTTTTTAATAATTTAAATTGTAAAATAATTTAATTTTTTATTTATAAAAATAATCTATTTAATTGAAATATTATATAAAGGAATAAATTAATTCCTTTACAATATTCAGTACTATCTATAATGATGAACTGAAATAAATTAAAATAGAAAAAGGTTATTAAATTACCAAATTGTTCTGGAATTAATGAGAAAAAGAGGAAACTGGGTGTATATTAAATATTCAAAAATCAGATATTGATTGAATTATTAAAAATTAATAATTTGGAAAATACCTAAAAATAAATAAAAATTATCTATATAAATATAATAAAAATAAATTTTAAGATGTATTCTGAGTGCATTTATATGTGCGAGTTTTTCTATTCTATTCTATCACCAATTTAATTGCAACTTTTTAAATATTGGAGAAAAATATCTAAATAATTTATTAATGAGAAGGAAAAAATGAAGAAAAAATATGAAATAATAAGATTAATAAATTAATAATAAAAGCAAATGTTGAAAATAAAATTATGAGTTAAATTAAAAAAGAAAAAAGAAACAAAAACAAGCAAGCAAGCAATCACAATAAAAAGAAAAAAGAGCTTTATTGTTTTAAAGTTAGTTTTTACAAATAAAAATATCACAATTCAAAATAAATAAACTGTTTTTACTCAAGTTGAAGTGTCAAATTTGAGAGATTAATGCAGTTTGCTAGGCCAGAACCTAAGCCTAATGCACCTTCGTCACCAATTTCATTGTTACTTTTTAAATATTGAATAAAAAATATATAATTAATTTATTAATGAGGAAAAAATGAAGAAAAAATATGAAATAATAAGATTAATAAATTAATAATAAAAGTAAATTTTGAAAACAAAATGATGAGTTAAATTAAGAAAGAAAGAAGAAACAAAAGCAAAAAAGCACAATAAAAAGAAAAAAAAAGAGAAAAGAGCTTTATTGTTTTAAGTTAGATTTTACAAATTAAAATATCACAATCCAAAATAAATAAACTGTTTTTACTCAAGTTGAAGTGTCAAATTTGATAGATTAATGCACTTTGCTAGTCCAGAACCTAAGCCTAATGCACCTTCATCACCAATTTAATTGTAACTTTTTAAATATTGAAGAAAAAATATATAATTAATTAGTTAATTAGAAAGAAAATATAATCAGTTAAATTAACAAAGAAAGAAGAAAAATATTAGCAAGCACAATTTAAAGGAAAAGAAAAATAAAAAAAATAAATTAAAAGAGCTTTTATGTTTGAATTAATTTTCATAATTAAAAATATTAGAATACAAAAGAAATAAACTGTTTTTATCAAGTTAAATGTTAATAACAAAAAATGAAGAAAAAATATGAAATATGAAATAATAAAAATGAATAACAAATAATTAAAAATTGAAATGAAAATCTCTCAATTTAGAAAAAATATGAAAATTATTTAAAAACAAAATTTTTTATACAAACATATAAGGATAAATACAATAAAATTAAAAATATAATTAATTAAAACTGATAATTTATTTGTAATAAATTTAATTAAATATATTATTTCTTATGATATAGAGCCTCAGTTATTTGGGAATTCATTTAATTCTTCTAATTCTATAATCTCAAACATATCTCCTACATTATCACTCAAAAATTAAACACCAAAATGATACCTTTGACCATTTTTAATTTTATTATTATTTTTTACATTTTAAAATTAAGATTTATTATTACAGTTTCTATATTAAATTAGATTATTTTCTAAACAAACTCTGAACTCTAAAGATGATTTTATCTCTTCTTAAGTTAAATCTATTATTGGTTAATTTTACTTGCTTTACTGAGAAAATATGGGAGTTGATAAATTATTAAATGATAAATTAACCTAACCAAAATAATTTTGTTTGGGAAATTATGAATTAACTTATTGTTTTAAACCAAAAATATTATTTTAATTATATTTTTTTTCTTAGCTGCCTATTCTAAATCCTAACTCTTCTTCATCTAAATCTTTGGTATGCAGATTATTAACTGTTATTAATCCAACATAGAATGTTGAATTTTAATTTGATTTTGAGAAATTGACTTTAAATAAATATTTTTTTTTGGGGTCAAAAGTAAAATTAAGAAAACACTGAACATTATAGTTTTCATCCTTAACTCTTTCTACCATAAATTTAGATTGTTTATTTGTTTATAAGTAATTTGATGAATTATTTTATTTTGAAAAAATGAAAGCATCATCATTTTTAAGTTTTAAGTTATAATTAAACTCACTGAAATATTTGAAATTTTTTTATCCTAGTTACTTAATCTGATTGGTCATCAAATTTTATATATCAATTGTATTTTTATAAATATCTTTCATAAATTGTGCTTAATTGAGCTAATTATTTAATAATAAAGTCTATTATTCTTTTAAGAAATTATCTAAAAACCAATTTTTTTGATTCATTTTTTAAATTAATTCCTTTTTACAAAGATTAAGCTAATCTATTAAAATTTAGATTTTTATCTACTCATAATTGTTAATTTATAGCTCTTCTTCTATTTTTTTCTTGTAAGCTTCAATATTTTCAAATCTAAATTCTTCTTTTTCAGTTCCAAAATTAAAATTATTTTTAGGTAAAAGATTAACAACTTTTAAAATTTCTAAAATATTTGCTTTGAATTGAGCAGTTCTTACCTCATCCAGTTTACTAATAAATTAATATTATTTCATCATATAAGAAAGTTGAGAGGTATATTTTTCTTTTTTTTAGAATTGGGAATTGATTTGCTCATTTAGATCTTATTCAATTTTTTCAGTTTATTGATTTTCTTAAACAAGGCATTCTTTCATTTTTTCTATTGATGCCATTTCCTGATATTATTCAATTATGTCAGACTTGAATTCTTAAACCTTTTAGGCTTAAATTAGCTATTCTTTCTTTTTCTAAGATATAATCTAAATTACTTCTTGAGTTAGTGATTCGTAAAATTCTTCAATGTGTTACTTGATGTCCGTTTCATTATTTTTTAAGTCAATTATATCTTTTCTTAATGAATCACTAGAAAGTGGAGGCCAATTTTCTAAAAAAGAGTTGCTATCAAATTCAATTATATCTTGCAAAAGTAAAAATTCAGCTTCAATTTTTTTATTTGATATGCATTTGACACATTATAATTTTGATTTTTCTTTTTCTAATAAATTTAGAAGAAATATTGGGTAATTTTTATGGATATTGCAGCAAATACCTCTGTTCATTTTGTTTATTTATTTATTTCTTTTTAGTTTACCTATTTTAATTAAATAATTAATTTTATATCAAATTGTTATTCAGAATTTAATTGATTTAAAGATATTAATCAGAATGAGAAAAAATCAATAAAACCCTTTTATCTCAAAATCAGTAATGTGTCATAAAAAATATTTGATCTTAATAAAATTGTAAATCGATTAATGTGGTCATATACTCTGTTTTAAATTATAAACATATTATATTTATTTTTTATTTTAAAAATAGACAAATTAATTTTTATTAAAATAATTCGATTTCTTCAAATAGCTTAACATAAAATTAAATTATAAAGATTTATAACTTTAGTGTATACAAGTTTATGCCCATATAAATATTTTTATTATTATTATGTAAGTATTTTATATTTAACTAAATTACGCAATATACGCAAAATACTTTTTAATTAATAAAAATCAGATAACAAAATAAAGATCAGATAATACAGTATAGATCAGATAACATAATAGACGCTATTGCTTAACTTCCTTTTTTAAATATACTTTAAGAACTATTTATTTCATAGAACTCCTTATCCATTTTTCTACTCTATATAAAATATTGCTGTCTTAACATTTTCCTTAACTTATTAAAATCAAAAATAAAATTTTATTTTTAAAAATTTACATTATATTTTTAATAATACAGTTGAATTTGTTATGCTAATTTTAGTAATACATATCAAATTTTTTTGTCATCAATAGGATATTTTAATATATATTGCTTATCAAAATTTTAAGAAAAAAGGGTTTTGTTTTCTTTTTTTCGATCTGAGAAAAATTTAAATATCATCTTGAAATTATAATTTTTTAGCTTAAAAAATAAATATGAATAAATAACTTGATTGCGATATTCTCAGTAAATGCTAAATATTTCATATTGATGTGTTGCAAGACTAAGATATTGTAAATTAAAAAATGAAATGAGTTTTATCTAAAAATTTATTTTTTGATAAATGGCCACCTATTTCTGAAGATTTTTTAAGAAAAAAAATCATCTAATTAAGAAACGAAGTGAAACATATCATTTAATAGATTATAAACTTCTATGAATAGTTTACAAAACAATTAATCTAAGTTTAAAAATTATTAGAATGAAAAGATAAAATTATTAGAATGAAAAGATAAAATTATTAATCAGTGTTGCTGTATTGCATCTATTGATAAAATCAGTAAATCTTTTACATAAGTGAATGAATTGAATGAATAAATTGATGAGAATTTAAAAGAGAAAATGGATTCTCAGTTTAATATAATTGAGGAATTTATTTCTATTCTGCCATAAATAATTTTATAATATGAATTAATAAGCCATATGAATATTTAAAAGCATACACAGATAAAAGAAATAATATTTTTAAAAGAATTAATTTATTACCACAAAATAACTTTAAATTTGGAAATGGAATGTATGGGTTTAATAAAATTAGCGCTTAAAAACTAGATTAAGAATATGAAATTAACAAGAAAAACAATTGTAAAAGAGATTATTTAATAAAGACATTTGTAATTAATAACTGTTTTAAAAATGAATTAGAAAGGTTGGTATTTATATGATCTCTTGTTAAGTTAGTAAGCTTTAATATCAAAATATTAAATTGATAAGGCTCATAATGTGAAGGGTATTTACTTTAATTTCTTCTAATTAATCTCAGAATTATTTAAAAATGAATGAATCTTAAATCAAAATAGTTTTAAATATTATAATCAATTTTTATGTGAATTAAGATTAAAGTCTAATATAATAACTTGTTCTAATTATAATAATTCTAATTAATATTTAGCATCTTATATATATTCTTAAGCGTAGTTAAGGGTACGAATAACAAAAAGTGGTTCAGGTAACGTTTGTTGTTATCTTTATTAATTGCATTCTCAAACTGAAAAAGAAATATTAATTTAGAATTAATTTTTATAAAAGTAACAATTAATCTGCTTTCTTTATAGGGCTTATTGACAGCTAATTTAACTATAGTAGTTTAAATTCAAATTGATTTGGATTCTTAATATCTTAAATAAGGTCTAACTTAAATTAAGCAAATTAAATAGTCGATTTAAAAAGTTATTAAGTACACTTAAGTTTTCAGAATTTGAATTGAAAAACAAGCAATAAATTTAATATAATGTCTATCCTATTAACTCTAATGAGATATTAAATTTAATTTAATGGCTCATATTGTTTAGCTTTTGAATTTTATTATGATTATCGAGGAGACAGGTTAGAAGTTTTTGACTATTAAGAGTTAGAAGAACTATCTATCTATCTTAAAATGATTTATTTTACTGATTTTTATGAAAGTTTAATCTAAATAAATAAATTTACAGAAAAGGCTATAATTCATTTTAAATTCAAATATATTTTTGAATGATTTGTAAATAAAATATTTAAAATTTATGCAACCATCTATCTACCTTTATTTGTAAAAACAAATAATTCCTATTTATTTTTCACTATTATTTTTTACAAATTATTAGATTTTCGAAATAATAACAAATACTGTTTATATTACCTAAATATATTTAATTCATCTAAATTTAATTAAAAACTAACAATTTATTTGTTATTATTTATATAATTTTTTATGTATAAAGAAGAAAAAACTTTCACTATAAAAAAAATAATAAAAAGTAAATGAATAAATAATCATAAAAGCTTAAAGAATCATTATTTATCTATGAAAATGAAAACGATGTTTTCATAATTGAAAGGTGAAAGGGAGGGGGGGGAATAATAAAATTTAACAAAATAATATGGGAAATAAATGGATTTTACATTTGATTTTGTGCAACTTCGAAAATTTAATTTTTTCCACATCCCAGCTTCTCAAGCTTAACAACATCATTAAACTCTTCTAAGCTAACTATCTAACAGTTACACGAAGGTCTCAGAAAGTAGAGATAAATTGAGATTTTTCTTTTTTAATTTTATTTATTTGTAATGTTTAAATCTTTAAAATTAAACCTCTTAAATCAGTAGTATGCTGTGCTTTCAGTAGTAGAACCTTCCCACCAACTTTCATTCAATTCATCTGCAGCTGACTTAGTTTTAATACAAATTTTAAATTGGTAGAGAAAAATTTAGCTAATTTCCTCATATTCCTTAGACTCAGTCTACTTGCCTTCTGCACTTAATTTTTTATTTTGTGTTATTTTTTTCATAAATTTAGATCTCTATTTTCTTTCAAATTTACGCAAAAAATGGTATCAAATCATTCATTTTGATACTATTAGAATAAACTTATTGAAAAACACGCAATAATTATTACAAAACTGAATAGATTAAAATGCATCCACTAAATGTTAATAATATAGCAAAATGGTATATATTTACCATACTATTATTACATTAACCTATAAAATTTTATTTTTATATACCATTTTATTGAGTTTTTCTAAAAGATGAAAATGTTTTAAATACAAAATTTTTATACTAACAAAAAAAGATAATTAGAATAAAATTAAAAACATAAATAATTAAAACCTATTAAATAAGTTTGATTAAGTATATTATTTCTTATCATATAGTATAGGTGATCAATTATCTGGGAATTCATTTAATTCTTCTAATTTTATAATATCAAACATATCTCCTACATTATCACTAAAAAATTAAACACCAAAATAATACCTTTTATCAGCTTTAATTTAATTATTATTTTTTACTTTTTAAAATTAAGATTTATCATTACAATTTTTATATTAAATTAAATTATCTTTTAAACAAACTCTGAACTCTAAAGTTAAATTCTTCTCATCTTAGGTTAAATCTATTATTGATTAATTTTATCTTTAATTATAAACTTAATTAAATAAATAAAATTATTTTTCTTAGCTGCCTATTCTAAATCCCAACTCTTCTTCATCTAAATCTTTAATATGTAGATTATTAGCTGTTATTAATCCAACAAAAAATGTTGAATTTGAATTTTATTTTTAGAAATTAACTTTAAATAAATATTTTTTTTTTGGGTCAAAAGTAAAATTAAGAAAACACTGAACATAAGACTATCCATTTCTAACTCTCTCTATCATAAATTTAGATTTTTTATTGGGTTTTATGTAATCTTATGAATACCTATAGTTTGAAAAAATGAAAATGTCATCATTTTTAAGTTTTAAGTTATAATTAAATTCACTGAAATATTTGAAATTTGTTTATCCTAGTTACTAAATTTGATTGGTCATCAAATTTTATAAATCAATTGTATTTTTATAAATATCTTTCATAAATTGTGCTTAATTGAGCTAATTATTTAATAATAAAGTCTATTATTCTTTTAAGAAATTATCTAAAAACCAATCTTTTTGATTCATTCTTTAAATTAATTCATTTTTACAAAGATTAAGCTAATCTATTAAAATTTAGATTTTTATCTGATCTTATTTGTTAATTTAAAGCTCTTCTTCTATTTTTTTCTTGTAAGCTTCAATATTTTCAAATCTAAATTCTGCTTTTTCAGTTCCAAAATTAAAATTATTTTAAGGTAAAAGATTAACAACTTTTAAAATTTCTAAAATATTTGCTTTCAGTTGAGCAGTTCTTACATCATCCAGTTTACTAATTAATTCATATTATTTCATCATACAAGAAAGTTGAGAGGTATATTCATCTTTTTTTTAGAATTGGGAATTGATATGCTCTTTTAGATCTTATTCAATTTTTTCAGTTTATTGATTTTCTTAAACAAGAAATTCTTTCATTTTATCAATTTATGCCATTTGCTGATATTATTCAATTATATCAGACTTTAATTCATAAACCTTTTAGGCTTATATTAGCTATTCTTTCTTTTTCTAAGATATAATCTAAATTATTTCTTGAGTTAGTGATTCATAAAATTCTTCAATGGGTTAATTGATGTCTGTATCATTATTTTTTAATTTAATAATATTATCTCTTAATGATTCATTAGAAAGTGGAGGCCAATTTTCAAAAAATGAGTTGCTATCAAATTCAATTATATCTTGCAAGAGTAAAAATTCAACTTCAATTCTTTTATTTGATATGCATTTGACACATTATAATTTGGCTTTTTCTTTTTCTAATAAATTTATATGAAATATTGGGTAATTTTTGTGGATATTACAGCTAAGACCTCTGTTCATATTGTTTATTTATTTATTACTTTCTTTTTTACTTTATTTATTTATTTATTTATTTATTTATTTTTAATTAAATAATTAATTAATAAATAAATAAATCAAATTGAAATTAACTCAAAATTTAATTGACTTAAAGATATTAATCACAAAGAGGAAAAATTAATAAAACCCTTTTATCTCAAAATCAATAATATGTCATAAAATATCTTTATCCTTAATAAAATTTTTAATTAATTAATTAATTAATTTGGTCATATTATCTCTATTAAATTATAAATATTATATATATAGTTTGTATTTTAAAAATAAAATAATTAATTATTATTAAAATAATTGTTTTTCTTCAAAATCCTTAAGATATTATTCATAACTTTAGTGCATAAAAGCTTGTGCTCTTATAAATATATTATTATTAAGTAATTATTTAACATAATGATGCAATATACGCAAAATATTATTTAATTAATAGAGATTAGATAACATAATAGATTCTATTGCTTGCTTAACTTACTGATATAAATATACTTTAAGTGATCTTTAATTCATGGAACACCTTCTCTATTTTTCTATTCTATATAAAATATTCTTAATCTTAAAATTAAAATATCACCAACTGTGTAAGTAGGTAGGTAAAGATGGTGATTTTTCATTTACTTTTTATGATTATTAACTAATTTTTATCATTCTAAATTTTAATTGTTTTTATAATTCTGTTTTTATCAAATGTATGATCTTTAAAATCAATTTGATTTATTGGAAATTTGTTATGGATATCACAAAAAAAGATCTCTATTCATTTTTCTATTATTTTTAGTTTGAAATTTGTATTTTCAAAAAGTATTAAATTTTACTTATTTTTATTATTTATTAACATTTAATCATTTTAAAAGAATAAAATAACTAATTATTTTTTAAAAAAATTAATTTCTAAAGTCCTTTATTACATTTCATATTCAGATATGTTTTTATAAAGAAAATATGTTGATTTTATTTTGAGCATATTGTATAAAGATAATTACAATAAAAATAAAAAAATAAATTAACAATTATTATTTATAAGCAATAAGTTTGATTAAGTAAATTATTTCTTATTATACAGGGGTCAATTATCTGGGAATTCATTTAATTCTTCTAATTCTATTATTTCAAACATATCTCCTACATTATTGCTAAAAAATTAAACACCAAAATAATACTTTTGGTCAGTTTTAATTTAATTATTATTCTATACATTTTAAAATTAAGAATCATTATTACAGTATCTATATTAAATTAGATTACTTTCTAAACAAAATCTGAACTCTAAAGTTACATTATTATTTAAATTAAAATTTTAATTTATGGCATTATTGGCAAATAAACTGCCACCAAACAGCAATGATTATTTTTATTAGTTGCCTATTCTAAACCCCAATCCTTCTTCATCTAAATCTTTTATGTGTAGATTATTAACTGTTATTAATCCAAAATAAAATGTTGAATTTTATTCTGATTTGAAGAAATTAATTTTAAATATATATTTTTTTTTTGGGTTAAAAGTAAAATTAAGAAAACACTGGACATTATAATTTCCATATTTAACCCTTTCTACCATAAATTTAGATTTTTTATTAGTTAAAATGTAATTTGAAGAATTATTATTTGTTGAAAAAATGAAAACATCTTCATTTTTTAGTTTTAAGTTATAATTTAATTCACTGAAATATTTGAAATCTTTTTATCCTAGTTTCTAAATATGATTGGTCATCAAATTTTATAAATCATTTGTATTTCTATAAATATCTTTGATAAATTGCACTTAATTGAGTTAATTATTTAATATAAAAGTCTATTATTCTTTTAAGAAATTATCTAAAAACCAATCTTTTTGATTCATTCTTTAAATTAATTCATTTTTACAAAGATTAAGCTAATCTATTAAAATTTCCGTTTTTATCTGATCTTATTTGTTAATTTAAAGTTCTTCTTCTATTTTTTTCTTGTAAGCTTCTATATTTTCAATTCTTAATTCTTCATTTTCAGTTCCAAAATTAAAATTATTTTAAGGTAAAAGATTAACAGCTTTTAAAATTTCAAAAATATTTGCTTTCAGTTGAGCAGTTCTTACATCATCCAGTTTACTAATTAATTCATATTATTTCATCATATAAGAAAGTTGAGAGGTATATTAATCTTTTTTTTAGAATTGGGAATTGATATGCTCTTTTAGATCTTATTCAATTTTATCAGTTTATTGATTTTCTTAAACAAGACATTCTTTCATTTTATCAATTTATGCCATTTGCTGATATTATTCAATTAACTCAGACTTTTATTAGTAAACCTTTGAGGCTTATATTAGCTATTCTTTCTTTTTCTAAGAAATTATCTAAATTACTTCTTTAGTTAGAGATTCGTAAAATTCTTCTATTAATTAATTGAAGTCTGTTTCTTTACTTTTTAAGTCAATTATATCTTTTCTTAATGATTCATTAGAAAGTGGAGGCCAAATTTCAAAAAATTAGTTGCTATCAAATTCACTGACATCCTGTAAAAGTAAAAGTTCAACTTACATTTTTTTATTTGATATACATCTGGCACATTATAATTTTTCTTTTTCGTTTTCTAATAAACTGATATATAAAATAGGATAACCTTAATGTATATTACAGCAATGACCTCTGTTCATTTTGTTTATTTTTTTATTTATTTCTTTTTAGTTTACTTATTTTAATTAAATAATTAATTATAAATCAAATTGAAATTGACTCAGAATTTAATTGATTTAAAGATATGAATCACAAAGAGAAAAAAATCAATAAAACCCTTTTATCTCAAAATCAATAATATGTCATAAATCTTAGATCTTAATAAAATTGTAAATTAATTAATTTGTTAATATACTCTGTTTTATTTAAATTATAAACATAATATATTTATATTGTATTTTAAAAATAAACCAATTAGTTTTTATTAATATAACTTCTTTTCTTCAAAAAGCTTAATATTAAAAATCAAATAAAAAAGATTCATAATTTTAGTGCATACAAGCTTGTGCCCATGTAAATTGATATATATTATTATTAAATAAATAATTTAGATTTAACTAAATGACGCAATATACGCAAAATATTATTTAATTAATTGAAATCAGATAACACACACATTAGAGATCATATATCATAATAGATACGATTGCTTAACTTCCTGATTTAAATATACCTTAAGTACTCTTTAATTCATTGAAAAACTTCTCTATTGCTCTATCCTATATAAAATACTTGTCTTTAAATTTTACTTAACTTTTAAAATTAAATATAAAATTTTATTTTTGAGAATTCACATTACATTTTTTTTACAGTTGAATTTATTATACTAATTTTAGTAATTTAATCAAATTATGTTTTTCAACATTAGGATATTTTTAATGTATTTTGCATATCTAAATTATGAGAAAAAAGGTTTTTTCTTTCTTTTTTTCTAAATGATTAGATTTAAATATCTGCCTGATTTTTCAAATTTCAATAATAAATATTATAATAAATTAGCTTAAAAAACAAATATGAATAAATAAATTGTCTGTGATATTCATAGTAACTGTCAAATATTTCATATTGATGTTTTACAGGACTAAGAAAAGAAGTTAAAATGCGTTTAATCTATTGCAAATAAAAAAAAGGAAATGAGTTTTATCTATATACCTCAAATAATCAATGTAGAAGAAAATTTATTTCTTGATAACTGGCCACCTCTTTCTGATGACTTATTAAGAGAAAAAATAATCTAATTAAGAAACGAGGATAAAGATGTCAGCTAATAGATTATAGACTTCTATGAAAAATTTACAGAAGAAGTAGTTAAAATCTTATCAGAGAAAAAGAAAGAATCATTGATCTAAGTTGAAAAATTATAACAATTAAAAGATAAAATTATTAATCAGTATTGCGACATGGCATCTCTTGATAAAATCAGTAAATGTTTTACATAAGATAATGAATCGATTGAATAAATTGAAAAGAATTTAAAAGAGTGTCTGGATTCTCAGTTTAATAGAATTGAAGAATTTACTTCTATCCTATAATAAATGATGAGATAATATGAATTAATTAGCGATAAGAATATTTAAAGGAATACATAGATAAAAGAAAATATATTGAATATATTGAGAATAGTAAATTTATTACCTCAAAATAACTTTAATTTTGGAGATGAAATGTTTGGCTTTGATAAAATCAAAGCTTATTAGTAAGTATTAGATTAAGAATATGAAATTAACTAGAAAAAAAATTGTAAAATAGATTATTTAATAAACTAACTTGACATTTGTAATTAATATCTAATTTAAAAAATGAATTAGAAAGATTGGTATTTAGATGATCTCTTGCTTAGTTAGTAATCTTTAATATCAAAATATTAAATTGATAAGGTTGATAATGTTAAGGATATTTACTTTAATTACTACTAATTAAAATCAGAGTTATAAAAAAATGAATCAATCTTAAATCAAACTAGTTTTAAATATTACAATGAATTTTTATGTGAAGTAAGATTAAAACCTAATATAATAACTTTTTCTAATTATAATAATTCTAATTAATATTTAGCATCTCTTATAGGTCCTAAAGGGTAGTTATGGATATTAAGAAAAAAAAGTGGTGCAAGTAACGTTCATTGTTATCTTAATTACATTCTTAAACCGAAAAAGAAATATTTATTTAGAATTAATTTCTATAAAAGTAAAAATTAATCTACTTTCTATATAGGGCTTCTTGATAGCTAATAAAATAATAATAATAATAGTATATATTAAAATACATTTGGATTCTCAATATCTTAAATAAGGACTAACTAAAATTAAGCAAATTAAAACGCTGATTCAAAAGTGATTGCCTACAGTTTAGAATTCAGAATTTGTATTGAAAAACAATAAATGCAATATACTGTCTATCCTAGTAACTCAAATGTTGTTTAATCCTATAGAGGAAATTCTTAAGTTAATGGCTCATACTATTTAGCTTTTGAATTTTAATATGATTATTTGGGAGACAGATTAGAAATTTTTGACTTTTAAGAGTTAGAAGAATTCCCTAATTGATTATAATTTAAATTAAATTGTTTGATTTTATATGCTATCTATCTATCTTTTTATATTTAATTTTAATGATTTTTATGAAGATTTATCTAAAAAAATAAATATACAGAAAAGCATATACCATAGTTTCTTATATATTAAGGACATTCTCAGATAAAAACTCTTGATCAAATTTAGTCCTTTCACCACCTTAACTTAGAAAATACCTTAACTTAGAAATCACCTTAACTTAGAATCATCACGGTACCTCAAATAATCAATGTAGAAGAAAATTTATTTCTTGATAACTGGCCACCTCTTTCTGATGACTTATTAAGAGAAAAAATAATCTAATTAAGAAACGAGGATAAAGATGTCAGCTAATAGATTATAGACTTCTATGAAAAATTTACAGAAGAAGTAGTTAAAATCTTATCAGAGAAAAAGAAAGAATCATTGATCTAAGTTGAAAAATTATAACAATTAAAAGATAAAATTATTAATCAGTATTGCGACATGGCATCTCTTGATAAAATCAGTAAATGTTTTACATAAGAGAATGAATCGATTGAATAAATTGAAAAGAATTTAAAAGAGTGTCTGGATTCTCAGTTTAATAGAATTGACGAATTTACTTCTATCTTATAATAAATGATGAGATAATATGAATTAATTAGCGATGTGAGTATTTAAAGGCATACATAGATAAAAGAAAATATATTGAATATATTGAGAATAGTAAATTTATTACCACAAAATAACTTTAGTTTTGGAGATGAAATGTTTGATTTTGATAAGATCAGCGATTATTAGTAAGCAATAGATTAAGAATATGAAATTCGCTAGAAATAAAATTGTTAGATAGATTATTTAATAAACTAACTTGACATTTGTAATTAATAACTGATTTAAAAAATGAATTAGAAAGATTGGTATTTAGATGGTCTCTTGCTTAGTTAGTAAGCTTTAATATCAAAATATTAAATTGATAAGGTTGATAATATTAAGGATATTACTTGAATTTCTTTTAATTAAAATCAGTATTATAAAAAAACGAATCAATCTTAAATCAAACTAGTTTTAAATTTTACAATGAATTTTTATGTAAAGTAAGATTAAATCCTAATATAATAACTTGTTCTAATTATAATAATTCTAATGAATTTTTAGCATCTGCTTTAGGTCTTAAAGGGTAGTTATGGATATAAAGAGTAAAAAGTGGTTTAAATAACGTTTATTGTTATCTTAATTACATTCTTAAACCGAAAAAGAAATATTTATTTAGAATTAATTTCTATAAAAGTAATACTTAATCTACCTTCTTTATAGGGCTTATTAATAGCCAATTTAAGGATAGTAGTTTGAATTCAAATGGATTTGGATTCTCAATACCTTAATTAATAAATCTTTCCTTAAATTAAGCAAATGATTCAAAAGTGATTGCCTCAACTTTAGAATTCAGAATTTGCATTGAAAAACAATAAATGCAATATAGTGTCTGTCCTAGTAACTCTAATCTTGTTTAATTCTCAAGAGGATATTAAATTTAAGTTAATGGCTCATACTATTTAGCTTTTGAATTTTATTATGACTATCTGGGAGACAAGTTAGAGATTCTTGACTATTAAGAATTAGATGAATTCCCTAATTGATTATAATTTAAATAAAATTGTATTGTTTTTATATGTTATCTATCTATCTTTTTATGTTTAATTTTACTGATTTTTATGAATCTTAATCTAAAAAAAATAAATTTGCAGAAAAGTGTATTATTTTAAGTTCATATTTTTGAATATTTTGTAAATAAAATTGAGGCAATCTCATACCTTTATTTATTAAATAAAACCAATAACTACTATTTAATTTTCACTATCATTTTTAAAAAATCTTTAGATTTACCATTTTTTGATAAAAAACAGTGTTTATTTTATCTAAATTATGGAACTAGTTAAATCCTATTTAAAAATTAACAATTGATTTATTTATTGCTTTATATATTTTATTTTATTTACAAAGAAGAAAAAAAACTTTCACTAAAAAAAACTTAAAAAATAAAAATTGTATTGGAGGAAAAATTTTTAATTTCAAATGCTTAATTAAATTAAAATAAAGTATTTGTTAGATAATAAGAATTTTATTTCTTTTTTAAATAATTTATTTATTTGTTTACCTAAAATTAATTACTTTAGTGAGATTAGTATATAAAATAATTAGATAAGACTGAATAAATTAAGAGCATTAAAATGAATTTTTAAACATTCTTAAATTAAAAAAATGTGAGAATTCCTTATAAAAAATAACAATTTAATATAAAAAAATTAGTTAATTTACAATATTATAATTAAAATTTAAATAATATTATTGTTATATCAATTGCTTGGGAATTCATCTAATTCCTAAAAGTCTACTAATTCTAATTTATCACCGACATAATCATTATAAAATTCAAATCCAAAGTAATATTAGCCATCAATTAAAATTTATCCTTTATTTTGAAATTGTTAACATTTTTATTTACTATTGTAATTACAATATTCAAATAATTAATCTTTTAAGCATACTCTAAACTCTAGAGTTGAATTGATTATTACAGGATCAAGATTGTCCATAAAATCTCTTAATCCTACTTATATTTATTTAGGTTAAAATAATGAACCGGTTTAGTTTAGATTTGAAAATAAAGAAGATTAACCAAATAGTGATGCTCCTTGAAACACCTATTAACTGTTGTATGCATTTTCAATATTATTTATGAGAAATCCTATTCCTTCTTAATGTAGGTCTTATTAAGTTTTATTTAATTTGCTAATTAATCCAAAATAAAATGTAGATTATTAATTGGATTTATAGAGGTTTATTCTAAATACATATTTCTTTTCTGGTTTAAGAATGTAATTTAAAAAACAGGAGACTTATTCTTACCCATTTTATATTCTTTGAATCTAATATTTTGAATTCGAATTTAACTTAACTGATATGTTTTCAGAAAAATTAATTTTATTAAAACAAACAATATTATTATCTTATAACATTAAACTGTAATTAAAGTGATTAAAATATTTGAAACTTTTTTATCCTAGCAATGATGTATTTTTTGCTATTAAGGATTTTATTTAAAACGCATTTTAGTAAACATCTTTGATATATTCTGCTTAGCTAATTTAATTTGCAAGCAAAATTTATTGCTATTTTATTAAGAAATCATTCAAATTCCAATCCTTTTAATTCATTTTTTATGTTAATTGTTAATTATAGAGATTAAGTTGTTCGATTAAAATATCAACTCTGCTTTTATCTTTCTTTAAAATTTCACTTTCTTCTATTAATTTTTATTTATAAGTATTATTATTATCAAAGCTAAAAATGTCAATTTCATTTCCGAAGTTAAAGTTGTTTTATGGTGTTAAATTGATTATTTTCAATAGCTACAGTATATTTTCTTTTATTTAAGTAGGCTTTTTGATATCAAATTAGCTAATTATTTCATATTATTGCATCATACACGAAAGTATAGAAGTATATTCATCTTTTTTATTAAATTAGGAATCTATCTAATCTTTTAAATCCTATTCAATTTTTTCAAGCAATTAATTTTCTTAAATGACACATTGCTTTATTTTAACTACTTATGCCATTTAACAGTATTTTTGAATAATTTAATCTTTTAATTCATACATTTTTTATGCTTTTATTAATTATTCTTTCTTTTTCTCAGATAAAATCTAAGTTATTTCTTCAATCATCTTATCATAAAAGTTCAAAATAGATTAGTTGATGTCTAAATCTTCATTTTTTAATAAAATTATTTTTTTTCTCAGCAATTCATCTGAAAGAGGAGGCCAGTTTTCGATAAAGAATTTTTCATCTGAATCAATGATTTCTGGTAAAAGTAGGAAGTTTATTTCCTTCTTTTTAACTGAGAAGCATTTTATACATTGTAATTTTTTTTGAGAGCCTTCTAATACATCTATATGATGTATTTGATAAGCGCTATGAATATCACAATAAAGATCTTTTATCATTATTATTTTTATTATTATTATTTAATTAATTAATTTAATATTTATTATTGATAGGGTCTGTCAGTCAAGTTATTTTTTAAAGATATTTTTTGAGATAAAGTCAATAAAACCCTTTTATCTCAAAATTTTTAATAAATTTTGGCGGGTAATTCATTTAAAAATAATAACAAAATTTTAAAACAATAATAGTAATAATTTGACTACCTATTAAATTTTTTTTTAGATTTTAATAAAATATTAATATTTTGTGAATAATATGTAATATTTATTTTTAGATTATTATAAATTTAACATGTATTTTCAAAGAGTAATTTTTGTATTTTTAATTTCATTTGATTTACCGCAAATAATATCTTTTTTGAATTTCGCTCGCTTCCTCTCATAATCAAAATTAAATTTTTTCTTTTAATTTGTCTTATTCATCATAGATAGCAAAAGTTTTAAGCTATCAAGAAAAGCAAATATTAACAAAAATTTCTATTATAATTTATATATTAAATGAAGAATTTAAGTATGATTTATATAAATATGTATGGTAAATCGCAAAATAAATTACATTTATTTGGTATACTTTCTTAAAAATTGTAAATTATGAACAAATGTAATATGAATCAGAATTTATTATATTTTTCAAATCAATAATTTGAGATAAAAGAGTTTTATATACTTTTATATCAAAAAAAAGGATATAAATGAAAAAAATTGAACTGGGATAATTTCAGAATTATTAAATTAATTAAAAAATAAATAAAAAAAATAAAAAAAGAATGGATAGAAATCTCTCTTGTAATATACATAGCAGTTATCCAATATATCACATTGATATTTTAGAAAACTCACAAAAAAAATTACAATGCATTAAGTGCATTTCATACTAAAAAATGGAAAAGAATTTTTTATTAATTCCAGAAATCCTCAATTACGATCAAAAGTTTCTTCTTCAAAACTGGCCTCCATTAAATGATGAAATATTAAGAAATAAAATTCTTTCTTTAGAAAGTGAAGAAAATGACCTAAATTAACAAATCAATGATTTTTATGACGAATTAATTAAGGAATTAACTTAGATTTTATCTGAGAAAAAGAAAAAATAATTAATTTTAGCTTAAAAAGCTTATGAATTCAAAGAATAAATAATTCAATAATATCAATAAATGGCATCAATAGATAAAATAAAAGAATTTTTTGTTGAAGAAAATAAAGAGAGAGAAAAAGTTGAATAGGATTTAAATGATTACATAGATGCCTAATTTAAAAGAAAAGATGAATACACTACTATCCTCTCTTGCATGATGTAATAATATGAACTGATAAGAAATTTTGATATCTAAAAACCTACATAAATTAAGAAAAATGTAGAGCAAATATTGCAAATAATCAATTTAATGCCTTTAAATAACTTTAATTTTGAAAGCGAAATCTAAATATTTAAAATTGATAACATTGATAATTATAAGTAAAAACTCAAAGAAGAAGATAATATTCAAAATAAAAATAACCAGATTTTAGATAATTTAATAAAACAACTCTCTTTTTGCAATGAATAACTAATAGAATTAATCAATTAAAATAAATGGTAATTACATGATTTCTTGTTAAATCTCAAAAAATTTAAAAATCAAATTGATTCTTCTAAATTATAGGAAAATATGCCTTTAAATATTAATAAATCTTAATAATAAATTGAGGCGAATATCTTTTAATTGAAAGGAAATGTCTTAAAATGTTAAAATAAATTATAATAATAATTATTATTAGAAAATAAAGTAATTTTAGATGATATAAATTCTAAATAAAATTCTTTATTTTAAAATTTTAATTTTTAGCTTAGATTTTAAGTTTAAATAAATTAAAATAAAGATAAAAGTTTTTTTAACATTAATTATATCCTTAAGCCTGAAAAAAAGTATATTTTTAGATTTAAGGCTATATAATCAAAATCTGAATCTAATTTACGTATTGGAATTATTAGTGATTCCTGCTAAAAAAAAAAAATTAAAGAAAGTTGGTTTGGATCTGATTTAAGCAATTTATAATAATACTTTGTTAAACATTACAAGTTAATTTAAGTAAATCTATGCTCAACTTGGTAATTTAAAATTTGCTTAAAAGATTAATTATTTTAAATGACTGATTATCCTAATTTAGCTTTGAACATTAGTCTGAAAAAAGAATATTTTTTACCTTAAGTTAATGATAAATATTATTTTGGAGGTATATTCTTTAAAGAATATCCAGGGGATTAAATAGAAATATTTGATTGTTAAGAATTAGATGAATTCTGAAATTTGTAGTGATAGATATTAAAAAATAAATAAATAAATTAATATATTTATCATAATTAATTTACATAATTTGTTATTGTAAAAAAAGGATATATATTAATTAATGCATATATTTTGAATTAAAATTAGTATTTAAAAATAGATTTTTCATAAAATTTAATTTTAGAGTACATTAATTAACCACTATATTTATACTGAATAAAATAATTAAGACTGCTTAATAAGAATATTAAAATAAAATTAGGATAACTAAAGTAAAAGAATATATAGTTATTATTGAAGTTGGCCATTAAAATTATATTATTTAATTTTTTTTAATTACTTTCTTAAACGAGATAAGAAGTATATTTTTAAAATAAATTTCAGTAATTCTAATTAAGATTCTTTATTTCTAATAGAATTGATATATAGTTTAATAAAAATCTATTCATTTTGAATTAGGATGCATAATAAATATATTACAAACAGATAAAGATATTAGTAATAATAGTAAATAAGTATTTAATTTTAAATTAAAATAAAGAATTTATTTTAGTGATTAATAGTTTGTTTGCATCCTTGGTGAGAATTTTCGACTTAAAATTTTAATAAAAATGAAAAAATAAAATTTAATTTGGAGATAAATACTACTTTGGTATTTTATTTTTAAGTAATAAATGTAAAAATTATTGATATCATTTTTAAATTTATTTAAATTATTATAAACTACATAGAAAATACATAAATATATATAAAATACACATATATAAATTTATTTAATATTATATTAATTTCTATTAGAAAAAAAAATCCGCATTTAGCAATATTTTAGTGAGATTAGCATATTAAATAATTAGATAAGGATGAATAAATAAAAGTAGATCATTAAAATTATTTTTTTAAAAATTCTTTAATTAAAACAGATGAGAATAATTTTAAAAAACAACAAATAAATATAAATTTAAATTAAATAATTTACAATATTATAATTAAAATTTAAATAATATTATTTTCATATCAGTTGTTTGGGAATTCATCTAATTCCTGACAGTCTATAAATTCTAATTTATCGCTAATATAGTCATTGAAAAACTCAAATCCGAAGTAATATTAACCATCAATTTAAATTTATCCTTTATTTTGAAACTGTAAAAATTGTTATTTACTATTGTAATCACTACATTCAATTAATTAATCTTTTAAGCATACTCTAAACTCTAAAGTTGAAGTAACTTTTATTGAATTAAGATATTCCATACAATTTTTAAATTCTGCTTCTTTTTATTCAGGTTATAATATTGACCTCGAGATTTAGCTTTGAAAAAAAGATTATGCTGGATACCCTTCTTGATTACTTTATGGATTGTCAAAATTGTTTATGAGAAATCCTAATCCTTCTTAATGTAGGTCATATTAAGCTTTATTTAATTTACTTATTAATCCTATATAAAACGAAGAATGTTAATTGGATTTATAGAAGTTTATTCTAAATAAATATTTCTTCTCAGGTTTAAGAATATAATTAAATAAATAGGAGACTTGTTATAGCCCATTTTATATTCTTTGAATCTAATATTTTGAATTCAAATTTAACTTAACTGATATGTAATCAGAAAAATTAATTTTATTAAAACAAACAAAATTATTATCTTATAACAATACACTATATTTAAAGTGATCAAAATATTTGAAACTTTTTTATCCTAGCAATGATATATTTTATGCAATTAAGGATTTTGTTTTAAAAACATTTTCGTAAACATCATTAATAAATTCTGCTTAACTAATTTAATTTGTTATCAGAATTTATTACTGTTTTTCTAAGAAATCATTCAAACTCCAATCATTTTAATTCATTTTTTGAGTTAACTATTCATTACATAAATTAAGTTGTTCTATTAAATTTCCAATTCTGATTTTATCTTTCTTGAAAATTTCACTTTCTTCTTTTAATTTTTATTTATAAGTATTATTATTATCTAAACTAAAAATGTCAATTTCGTTTCCAAAGTTAAAGTTGTTTTATGGTGTTAAATTGATTATTTTCAATATTTAAAATATATTTTCCTTAATTTATGTGTGTTTTTAGATATCAAATTAGCTAATTATTTCATATTATTACATCATACACTAAAGGATAGAAGTATATTCATCTTTTTTATTAAATTAGGAATCTATCTAATCTTTTAAATCTTATTCAATTTTTTCAAGCTATTAATTTTCTTAAATTACGCATTGCTTTAATTTATCTACTTATGCCATTTAACAATATTTTTCAATAATTTAGTATTTTAATTCATACACTTTTTATGCTTTTATTAATTATTCTTTCTTTTTCTCAGATAAAATCTAAGTCATTTCTTCAATCAACTTATCATAAAAATTCAAAATAGATTAGTTGATGTCTAAATCTTCATTTTTTAATAAAATTATTTTTTTTCTCAACAATTCATCTGAAAGAGGAGGCCAGTTTTAGATAAAAAATTTTTCGTCAGAGTCAATGATTTCTGGTAAAAGTAATAAGCTTGTTTCCTTTTTTTTAATTGAGAAACATTTGATACATTGTAATTTTTTTTGAGAACCTTCTAATACATCAATATGATGTATTTGATAAGCGCTATGTATATCACAATAAAGATCTTTAATCATTTTTTTACTATTTTCTTTTATTTAATTAATTTAATATTATTGATAGGGTTTATCCCAGCCAAGTTATTTTCTAAAGATATCTTTTGAGATAAAAGTCAATAAAACTCTTTTATCTCAAAATTTTTATTTATTAATTTTTAATAAATTCTGATGAATAATTAATTAATTCCAAAGTAATTACAAGATGTTAAAATAATAAAAGTAATAATTATTTATTGATTGTTTTTTATTATGACTATTATTTATTAATTAATTAAATATTATTGATAGGATCTGACGCAAATTGTTTTCTAAAGAGATATTTTGAGGAAAAAGATAATAAACCCTTTTATCTCAAAATTTTTACTTTTTAATTTATAATAAAATTCTGGTGATTAATTAATTCTAAAGCAAAAACAAAATTTTAAAATAATAAAAGTAATTATTTGTCTATGTTTTAATTGGGATTTTTAGATTTTATAAAATATTTAAATTATGGTTAAAAATCTAATACTTATTTTTAGATTATTATATTTGTATTTAACATTTATTTTCTAAGAGGAATTTCAATATATTTATTTGTTCATTTTATTTACCACCAAAAATATCTTTTTTTGAATTTCATTCATAATCAAAATTACATTTTTTCATCAATTTTTGTTATTTATCATAGATAACAGAATTTTAAGTGATAAAGAAATCCATAATTTCCAAAAAGTATCTTATAATTTGATGCAAAATTGAAGTATGAGTGATATAAGGTAAATCGCAGGAGAAATTGCATGCATTTGATATATTCTCTTAAAGATTGTAATTTAAAATTAATCAGAATTTATGATATTTTCCAAATCAAAAATTTATTTGAGATAAAAGAGTTTTATTTGCTTTTATCTCAAATCATATTAATGAAAAAAAAATTGAGCTGGGATAATTTCAGAATTATTAAATTAATTAAAAAATAAATAAAAAAAATTAAAAAAATGAATAGAAATCTTTCATGTAATATACATAGCAATTATCCAATATATCACATCGATATATTAGAAAATTCACAAAAAAAATTGTAATGTATTAAGTGCGTTTCATACTAATAAGAGGAAAAGAGCTTTTTACTAATACCAGAAATCCTCAATTATGATCAAAAATTACTTCTTCAGAACTGGCCTCCACTAAATGATGAAACATTAAGAAATAAAATTATTTCTTTAGAAAATCAAGAAAATGACCTAAATTAACCAATTTAAGATTTTTATGATGGTCTAATTAAGGATTTAACTTTGATTTTATCTGAGAAAAAGAAAGAATAGTTAATTTTAGCTTAAAAAGTATATGAATTCAAAGAAAAAATAATTCAATAATATCAACAAATTGCATCAATAGATAAAATAAAAGAATTTTTTATTAAAGAAAATCTATAGACTGAAAAAGTTGAATAGGATTTAAAAAATTACATAGATTCCTAATTTAAAAAAAAAAATTAATACACTACTACTCTCTCATGTATGATGTAATAATATGAACTAATAAAATATTTGGATATCTAAAAACCGACAAAAATAAAGGAAAATGTATCAAAGATATTGTAAATAATCAATTTAATACCTTTAAATAATTTTAACTTTGAAAGCAACATAAAAAATTATAAGAAAAAACTCGAAGAAGAACAATGTATTCAGAATAAAAATAACCAGATTTTAGATAATTTAATAAAACAACTGTGTTTTTGTAATGAATAATTGACATAATTAATCAATTAAAATACTTGGGATTTAGACAATTTCTTGTTAAATCTATAAAAATTTACAATTAAAAATCAAATTGATTCTGCTGAGTTATAGTAAGATATATTTTTAAATATGTTTAAATTTTAATAATTAATTGAGAATGATATCAAAGAATTGAGATAAAAGGACTTTAAATCTTAAAATGAATTTAAAAAAATAATAAAATAATTAGAAAATAAAGTAATTATAAACAATCAAAATTATAATTAGAAATCGTTATTTGTCAATTTTGATGATTAAGCTAGATTTTAAGTTTAAAAATAATACAAAGCAAATGATAATAGTTTTTGTTTAATTAATTATATACTTAAACCTGAAAAAAAATATATTTTTAGATTTAAGGCTCATAAATTAAAATCTGAATCAGAATTTTTAATAGGAATTATAAGTGATTCCTGCAACAAAAAACATTTTCCAGATGATTGGATTGCAAGCGACATAATCGGTAATCAAGATGTCAGTTAAGGAGATTAAATATTAAACGAAGAGAATCTAATCTAAACTTGGTAATTTTAAGTTTGTATAAAAGATAAGACATTTAATATGTATAATTATCCTAATTTTACTTTGAGATTTTATTTAGAAGAATAAAGTGATATTTAAGTTGATGGTAAATATTATTTTGGAGTTTTATTTTTGAGTGATTATCCAGGGGATAAACTAGAAATATTTGATTATTAAGAACTAGATGAATTTCCAGATTCGTGATGAGATTGTGATATATATAAATAACTGTATTTTTTATTTATTTACAAAATTTTTTTATTGAAAAAAGATATATATTATTTATTTATTTATTTATTTATAATTAAGTAATTAAGGAATGGATATATTGCTAATCCAGGTATTGAAATTCCGCTGACTGGATACTTAATGTCAGCGGAATTTCAATAAGATTTTATTTAAAATTTGAAAGCTAAGTAGCCTTCTTGCTTTTTTTATTTTAATTTGTCAGAATTTATCAGATCTACCTGTGATTTTATTAAAAAGAAAGGCCTTTTAATTTTTTGTGAAAAATTAATTTTTTTGCTTTAAATTCATAAAATTTGATTAAGATTTTTAAATTGAGAAAAAAGAAAGAAATAGAAGGTTTAGACACTTTTTTCATTCAAATATGAATGAAGCGCAAAACATTCTTTTTTTACATAGAATGTTTTCGAAAATGTGTAAGAAAAATTTATTTACCCTTAGTCTTCATTTTTTACCTTCAAAATTTGACAAAAGGTTTTCAATTTTCAAAAAAAATTTTCAAAATTTAATAAAAATAGGTTTATAAAAAAAATTAAAAAATAGAAAGTGTAAAATTAGCTTTAAATCATAAAAATTAAATGAAATATCACGATCTGTACCTACTCAGTTCGTGATATTTTAATTACAGGATTAGCTATATTTTGAATTAAAATTAGTTTTATAAAATAAATTATTAAGAGAACTTTAATTTTAAAGTACATTAAAATATATTTAATATACTATATTTTTTATTGATTAAAATAATTCTTATTTACTTACATTAGAAGCTGAATAAGATTTATAAACTAAAATTAGGATAAATAGAGTAAAAGAATACTATTTAATTTGACTATAAACTTATATTATCAAATTTTTTAATAATTTATTTCTAAAACCAGATAGGAAATATATTTTTAAAATAAATTTCAGCAGCTCTAATTAAGATTCTTTATTCTTAGTAGAATTAATTTTTTGTTTAATAAAAATTTATGTATTTACAAATA